ACGGAGTGTAGAGGTAAGGAGTACAGACTGTATAAAAAGTGTCCGTAGGAAAGTGTTAAATAAGTGTGGCGCCCTCTGTCTACGGTGGCGCCACTGTAGCCACAGTCTAAATTTTAAAGAAGTTTTTATAATTTTTTTATTGCACAGACTCACAATAATTCTTTTTACAATTATTGCTTTCAAAATTTTTAGTTTCAAAATCACTCAACGTATTTTACGGCGATTTATGACATACCCTGTAGCTACTCGTAGTGGAGATTTTTTGAACTGTCATTTACTGCTTACAGATGGATACATCATGAAGGTTAGAGAACAGAAGAACGATCACTACGTACTAAAGCATAGCCCGCCTGTCCTTGAAAATTGTAGAATTTATAACAGCGCTGACGTCGGTGAGTAGTGATTGCGAAGTTAGCTGTTTATGAGTACAAGCAGATGAAGTTAGTTGAATAATGTACAAATTTTCTCCGCGGCATTGGTGGGCATTGGTGAGAAAATTTTCATACTCCGTAATTACGTAATTTTTGACAAAAAGAAATATTAGAAATTAGAGAAATATTTTATTGTGCGTGGATGTGCAAGTGGTTTAGCATCTGATCGGAAAAATAGACTGAAAATGACTTTTATTGACGCCTCACTTATGGTGTCCATATTTCTGGGACACTATTTTCTACGGCGATCGGTCTCCTGTTCTCTAACCTCCATGGAACCCTCCATGGAGTAAATATATACTCTATTCCAATTACGAAGTCCCTTTTGCACTTCTTTGAAAGTAACTAATCATTTTTTCGTCGTAAATCATCATTTAAAAATACAAAATCAATCTAAATCATTATACAATTAATTCACACACACAATCAACATATTGTTTTAAATGCGTGCTCAAAATAATTAAAACTTTAAAAGATAATAATATTTTACTGCCGTTTTGCGTTTACGTTCTATAGTTTTATTTTTACTTTTTTACATAGTGACGTGACTAAAAGAATCGTATAAAATCGATTATAGACAGATTCCTTTCGCGAGTGAAAATCTGTCAACACTGCGTCCACCTCGTGATCACGACCGCCATTTTGTTTGTCTCTTCAGTACGAGTGCAGAATAGCGGTGGGTTGTAGCGACTTTTTTGAGTAACGAAACGAAACTATCTATCGAATATCAATAGCGGCTTTTGACTATTTTAATAGAGGATTTTGAAACACTCTATTTTTATAGCGGCTTCAATAGAGTGTTTTTTTAATTGATAAACGTTACGAATGAAACGATGTCCGTTTCACGAGAAAACTTGTTTGTTACCGTTTCGTATAGAATTAGACATGGTGTTAATGGTTAAATTTATTTATTTGTTAAATCATTTCGCACGGTTTGATAAAAATATCACTTGAAAAGATTTATCGGCAAACGATTTATTTGTTAATTATGATTATGACAAATTCACCCACAAGTTCCGCATAAAATACTGAATATAAGTTTGATTTTATAGCAAATAATTATCACATAAAGTATCTTATGTCGACCTGAGTCATAAAAGAAAGAAGGATGTTGTTGCACCCGTTACTGCCGCACGTACTGCGTTCGTTAGAAAACAATATACCACTGTATTGGCAGTCTGCTTATATATACAACAAAGTAAACAGTATACTTAAAATATACCCTATGTTATCTTACACTTGCAGGAAAACTGTAATAGAATGGTTGGATTAACTTAGCTATGAAGATGTTGAAAACCTTTTCATAAGAGTTTGTTAAAATTTTGGTTCAATTAATGCTGGTTCCTGTATGCGGAATGTTCATACCGATCCCAAGGAACCTTATCCGTAGGGCATACAGATAACCAACACATGCACACATGCACACTCACACACAGACACGAGCTCGTATACTCATACATACACTCATTCACACACCATTCCTATACATGTATAACATGTACACACACACGCACACACAATGTACAGACGCACACAAACATATATACACACTTACGCATATTTATATACTACCATACATGCTTAATGCTAAAATTGACTCTCACCTAAATTGGAAATCACACATAGAAAAGATTAACAAAAAGATATCGAGTTATTGCTATGTTCTTTCAATACTTTCTTGGTCAACCTCTGAATCTGTTACTAGAAATGCGTACTATGGTTATATTTATCCATTGTTAATCTATGGTATAATTTTTTTGGGTCATTCAACAAACATAAATGAATCGTTTATACTACAGAAACGATGTTTGCGTATCATATACCGTAAGACAAATAGAGACAGCCTGAGGAATTTATTTAAAGAAAAACGTTTTTTTAACTTTAACTGGAATATATATCTTAGAGTTGTGCCTATTTATTAAAAATAATTGCGATTTATTCGAAACGAAACTTTCGAAACGGCAAAATTTACGCCCTTGCTTAATAAAAACGATTTCCCCGAATTAAACAAAAAAAAAAACACTAAAGATGTTCTTATGTCACTGCTAAAGAATATTATTAATATAATTTTAAATACAGTCATTAAAATATTAACTCTTAATAAATCTAATGAACAAACCACCATTTCTTCTCAGCTTGTTAAAGATGTTTTCATAGATACAATGACACCAAAATAGATATTTCATTATTTAGCATTTTATATTTTATGGATCAGTTTAACATTTTACAATGGAATTGTTGCGGACGGCGAGTAAAATCATCCATCGCCCCGCACCGCACCCACGTCGACACGTCCCGCGCGCCCCGCATCGGAATAAGGGCCCCCGCGCGGACGACACTCCGACTAACTCGGTGCTTACGGCGCACCGTACTACGAAATAAAAGAAGCGTTCCCCGTTCTTCAGGTGATTCCGATCAGGTACCTCGCCGCGTTCGGTCGCCTGCGACCCAACAGTGAAGTGCAGTAATTCGGTCGAGCCCATGCGCTCCCAGTGCGTTATTCAAGAAAGAAGACAAAGACATTTTTACCTGTGTGCGGGTGTCGTTGTGCTCTTTTACGACCGTCAGGTACATCGGGCCGCCGGCCCATTGTTCTTTTGTGTGTAGTGCTAGTTTAGTGCCCCACGTTCTCCGGATTTCCAGTAAAAACTGTAAGTAGTTTATTACACACCCGCTGCATCAGAGGCAGCAATTCTATTTTTAAATTTCTGTGTTCGCTTGTCGCATTAGGCGACAGCTAGGTACACACCCTAGCGTACCAACGCGCTAGTTGTATAAGTGTTCATTTAGGCACACACCTCCCCCCGCCGAAAGGTGGGGCTTGATACACAAGTGTTCTAAACTCACTGACAAGATGGCGGCTATTACTATAGCCGAACTCGCCGACTTCTTCGGCCAAGTGTGCCCCGACGCTTGGGCTGCTTTTCTAGCCCAACGTAACTCGTCCACGGCTGAACGCCCCGTAGTACGGATAGACGATCCTATATCACCGAGCACCGGCCGCTCGACCCCTGTGTCCATCGACACAGTCTACGACGCCGCGTCCCCCGCGCCTTCTGCGCTCTCCACCCGCGGTCCATCACCGTTGTTTTCGGACGCCGAATCAGGCTCCGAGATGGATATAGAGATTCGCCGACCTGATAAACCCGATGACGAAGGCTTCACCCTAGTCTCGGATAAAAAGCGCAAGCGCCCCGCCGCGAAAGAAAGGGAGACGAGCCTCACTCGGCCCCTACGTCGCCCAACGCCACTCCGGCTAAAAAAGTCGCGCCTTCCGCGCGCAAAATTACCGCGATCAAAGCCGCGAACCCGACTCAGGCCGTACCTAGGAAGGAGAAGCCGCCGCCACCTATAATATTACAGGACAAGTCGCACTGGAGCAACCTATCCAAGTGGATAGACTCCAAAAAGATATTCTGCCCCAAAGTCCACAATGGACCACAAGGCATCCGCATCCACGTCGCAACGACGGACGATTTTCGCGCTTTAACTGCGCATTTAAAAGCTCAAAACTTGAGCTTCCATACTTACTCTCTCGCGGAGGACCTTAACTTTTTTTTTTGTTTTTTTTTTTTTTTCTAAGCACAGACTCGGCTCCACGCCGTGGTAGCGGCGTAAAATATACTACCCCATATTTCGCACCATGACTAACCAAATAAAGGAAATCCGGTCGGCGATTTAATGGGGCAGGGGTGCGAAGAATCTCCGGGAGGAAAACCGGCGACGAGGTTCGCCACCCGTCACGTTCTGTCTCTCGGAGAGGCGAAAAGTGGATTGCAGAGGCCCGTCTGGCTACGTTGAATGTATGTGGGGCAATGAATGATAAAATGGATGAAGTATGCGATATGATGTATGATAGAGGAATAGATGTGTTATGCGTAAATGAGACGAAAAGGAAGGGGAAGGATGTCACTACACATGGCATGTATACCGCGTACTGGTCTGGTGTAGACGAGATCGAGCGGGCATGCCAGGGAGTAGGTATCATCCTTTCAGAAAGAATGGGCCAATGTGTGAAAGAGTATGAATGTGTAAGCCCAAGACTGCTATGGATACGAATGAAAGTGGGCTTAAAGAAGTTGTCCGTGTTAGGGGTCTACGCCCCAGACATGTCTAAGCCCACTTATATCCGAGAGCAGTTTTGGGAAATGGTAAGGATGTGTTAATGAAGTGTAAGGGAAATGAATTGATTTTAATGGAAGGGTTGGGGTGAGGAGGCTTGGTTATGAAAGGATATTGGGAACGTTTGGTGATGAAAGTATAAATGAGAATGGTGAAAGTCTCCTCACCGTATGTATGGAAAAGAATCTTTTTGTGACGAACACTTGCTTTCGCCACAAGAGGATTCATATGTATACTTGGGAAAGAGGTGACCATAGAAGCATGATAGATTTCATAATTGTGGATGAAAGATTGAGGGGCGCAGTGGTGGATACAAGGGTTTACCGGGGTTCTAACGTAGGAACGGATCATTATTTGGTTTTATGCCGAATTATTGGTCTATTCAGGCGTTGGCGCCATCGGTCATCTGTGTCTACCACTGCGTTACAGCGTATTAGAACAGAAAGATTGCAAGATGAAGGTGAGAGAAACAAGTTCAAGTGTGGACTGAAGGAAAATATAAGTGGTTTGGATGAATTATGTATGAAGGAGTTAGACTTGGAGAATGTATGGCAAAATGTAAAGAAAGGTTTAGTGCATGCAGCTACCGAAGTATGTGGTGTTAGTAAGAGAAAGAATGAAAGGAAAAATAATACGTTATGGTGGGATGATGAGATACGTATGGAAGTTGAAGCAAAGAAGAGAGCATGGCTAAATTTACTAGCAACAAAGGCTGGTAATTCTAGCGGTACGAATGATGATATTGAAAGAAAAAAGGCGGTCTTTAGACATCTTAATAAGAGAGTAAAAGAAGTAGTTGAAAGAAAAAAGCAAGAAAGAACGGATAAGAATGATAGAAGAATATCGGATAACTTGTAGGTAAATATTAAAATGTTCTGGAAACTCGTAAGAACTACCAGGGGCCATTCAAAACAGCCTATAATGAATGCTATAAGAGACGAGAATGGCTATATTCTGAATGATGAAGTTTTGAGTTTAAAGAGATGGAAGGAATATTTTGAAAGAGTGTTTATGAGTGAGGAGACAACATGTGTACTAAGTGAAGTAGAAACTCCGAAAGAAGAGGAAAGAGGTAGCGAGATAAGTACGGATTAAATAATGAAAGCAATGAAAAGCATGAAAGCGGTTAAGGCGCCCGGATATGATAGAGTTTCACTCGAAATGCTAAGGGCTGGAGAGGAGGTGGTGGCAGGCCTGCTGCACACCTTGTTTAATTTATGCTGGGAACTGAAGCGGGTACCGGTAGACTGGTGCAAAGCCGTGATAGTCCCAGTATATAAAGGAAAAGGGTCGCAGCAGGACTGTAAAAACTACCGTGGCATCAGCCTTCTTAGCATTGTGGGAAAACTGTATGCTAAGGTACTGAATGAAAGGGCCATGAAAGAAACTGATGGAAAAATTTGGGATGTGCAAGCGGGATTTAGAAAGGGAATGGGATGTACAGATCAAGTCTTTTCCATGCGCATGATCGCGGAGAAGTTTCTGGCCAAAAACCAAAAGGTTTTTTGTGCGTTCATGGACTTGGAAAAGGCCTATGACAGAGTGGATAGGGATTTGCTATGGCAAACACTGAACTCATTTGGGTTAGGCGCTGGCTTGATACAGGCATTGGAGTCTCTTTATAGGGACTCTAGTGCTTGTGTTAGGATCAACGGGGTCTACTCGGACTGGTTTGACATCCATAAAGGTGTCAGACAGGGCTGTGTGGCTTCCCCGTGGCTGTTCAACCTATTTATGGACAGTTGTTTGCAAAATTTGAAAGTTGAAGAATGTGGATTAAGAATGGGTTAGTTAACCGTCAAATGCCTTTTGTACGCCGATGATCAAGTCATTCTTGCGTCGTCGGTGGCCGAGTTGCAAATGATGGTTACATTAATGAACGGATCATTAAAAGAAAGGGGTATGAAAGTGAACGCAAGTAAGACGAAGGTTATGGTTTTTGAAAGAGAAGAAAGTAAAACGATTTGTGAAATAAGAATAGAAGGGGAGTGGATCGAGCAAGTAGATGAGTTTGTATATTTGGGCTGCGTATTTAGCAGGGATGGGAGATATGATAAGGATATAGAACGACGAGTGAATGCGGGAAATAGAGTAAATGGGTCCTTGCACTCTATTGTGAAGAGTCAAAATGTGTCGAAAAAGGCACGTATGGCAATTCACAATGCTGTGTTGGTCCCTACTTTAACGTATGGTAGTGAAAGTTGGGTGTGGCAGAAGAAGCACGAGAGTAGAATAAACGCAGTAGAAATGCGGTCGTTAAGGAGTATGTTAGGGCTGAATCTGAATAACAGAGTAAGAATTGTGTAATAAGAGAAGAGTGTGGTTTGCAAGATGATGTTGTGACCAGGATTAAGAAAGGAATGCTTCGGTGGTTTGGTCATGTGGAAAGAATGAATGAGGAAAGAGTGACAAAGAAAATTTATGTTGCAGAAGTGAATGGCAGAGTCCGAAAGGGACGTCCTAGGCGAAAATTTATCGACCAAATTGGCGATTTATTGGAAACGGGCCAAATTAGGAGTACCCTTAACCGACGAGCATGTATACGTAGGTGTATGGATGTGAAGGAGGCGAGAGAGGTGTGTCAGGATCGTGCCAAATGGAAATCTGTAGTCTCTGCCTACCCCTCTGGGTGACAGGCGTGAGCGTTTATGGATGGATGATATCGACATCATGCTAGTGCAAGAGACCTTCTTGAAACCTAGTTTGAGCGATCCCAAAATAGCCAATTATACCCTAGTAAGAAATGATAGGCTGACCGGACCTAAAGGTGGCACCTTGATATACTACAATAGGTCGTTGCAATGTGTACCGATAGATACTCCGCCGCTTACTAACTTAGAAGCGTCGGTCTGTAGGATAGCACTCACAGGCCATCCGCCATTAATAATTGCATCAGCATACCTGTCTCCCTTAAAAAGTATATTAGATTCCGACATATCGGCTCTATTAAACCTAGGCCCTAGCGTTTTAATCGCAGGAGACCTAAATAGTAAACACGTTAGCTGGAACTCTAACGTTAACAATCCTAACGGAATAATTCTAAGAGACCTCACGGAGAGACTTAACTTCGATGTTATCGCTCCCGAGAGTCCAACACGCTATCCTTTTGCAAACAACCAACATCCGGACGTCCTTGATATAGCATTGCTAAAAGACATCCGACTTAGTATTAATTCGATAGAGACTATTATCGAGCTAGTCTCAGACCACAGGCCGGTCGTTTTACAACTGGGCCGGCCGGCAGGTGAGGTCCCTCAGACCAAAACTATTGTCGACTGGCGTAAGCTTGAGGTCAAACTTAAGTCTACGAACTCCCAGCATTTGGACACTATACCTGACAAGATAGACTCGCTGGAGGAGGCCGATAGGGCGATTAGCGCCCTTTCGACTCACCTCACATCAGCGGTCGAAGATTGCTCCCGTAAGGTTCGTGTATCGAGCGATCAATACACGAAACTTCGACGGCGAAGGCTGATTAGAGCGAAGAATTCCGCGCTTAAAACTTACGACCGCTATCGCACGGAAACCAACAAACTTCGGGTACGTTCTCTACAAAACGAGATTAAACAACGAGTAGCCGAGTTTAGAAACGATAACTGGGATAACCTCTTAGAAGGTATCGAACCATCCCAAGACGCCTTCTGGAGACTAACAAGAGCTCTTAAAGCCGACAAATCCGCACCGATGCCGCCTCTCGTGAGGCTGGACCGCCCCGATCTCGCCCTTGACGATCTTGAAAAAACCGAATGCCTAGCAGACAGTCTAGAGTACCAGTGCACGCCATCCACTGCACCAATAGATCCCGCTCACCTATTAGAGGTAGAAACGGAAGTAGAACGTAGGTCTGCGCTGCCACCAGCGGGTGAACCACTCGATCCTGTGAGAGTAGACGAAGTCACCGAAACCATAAAAAGTCTTAAAAATAGATCAGCCCCTGGGCCAGACGGCATCAGTAACAAGGTGATCAAATCCCTTTCGGCGCCACTTATTTGCCTCCTTGTTGGAATATTTAACACCTTTCTCACGAACTGCTTCTTCCCGGACATCTGGAAAGAAGCAGACGTAATAGGGATCCCAAAACCGGATAAACCGCGTAATCGTCCCTCTAGCTACAGACCCATTAGCCTGCTCAACACATTGGGCAAACTATACGAGCGCATTATTCATAAGCGTCTCCGTCATTTCACCGAAGCTAACGGACTCCTCCCAGACGAACAGTTCGGCTTTAGAGCCAATCACTCTTGCACTCACCAGATTCATCGCCTATCAGAATACATTCTGTCTGGCTTCAGCCAAAACCCGTTAAGGAAAAAGTCTCGAAACACGGGAGCCCTCTTCTTCGATGTCGCGAAGGCGTTTGACAAGGTCTGGCACGACGGCTTGATTTACAAGCTGTACAAACTAAACGTGCCCGATAGGCTCGTGCACATCATACGAGCCTTCCTTTCGTACCGCACTTTTCGATATCGAGTGGAGGGAACTCGTTCTTCGAAACGTTTCCTCAAGGCCGGGGTTCCACAGGGCTCCGTACTATCTCCACTCCTTTTCACACTCTTCACGAGTGATATCCCAAAAGACCCCGTAGTGAACACCGCTCTCTTTGCCGACGATACGGCACTCTTTGTGTCAGACCCCAACAAAAATAGACTCGCTATAAAGCTCCAAAAAGCGACCAATCGCCTTGGTGAATGGTTTCGCCTATGGAGAATTGACGTGAATCCCGAAAAAAGTGTAGCAGTATACTTTCAACGGAATTCTACAGGAGGTTCTAAACCCAAAACAATCTCTTTATACGACCGCCCAATCCCTTGGGAAAAATCGGCCAAATATCTAGGCGTCACTTTCGACTCCCGCATGAGTTTCAAGACGCACATAAGTGTAGTACGCAACAGAGCCAAGTCAATAATTGGCCGTCTACACCCCTCGTTAACAGTAAGAGTAAACTGTCGCTAAGACACAAACTCCGGCTGTATTAAACCTGCATTAGACCAGTTATGTCCAATGCAAGTGTAGCTTTCGCCCATACATATAAGACCCATATTTTAAAACTCCAAAGAGTACAAAACTTTTTCATCCGAAAAGCCACCGGTGCACGGTAGTATCAACGGAACTCTGATTTACACAATGATTGCGAACTACCATCTATCTCCGAATATTTTAAGGAGATGTCCCAACGCTACTTTGATAGAGTAGAAACCCACCCTAAGCCGCTAGTGACAAACGCAGCTAACTACGTTCCGATAACAAACGTCGCGCCCTATCTCCGTAGACCGCGAAATGTTTTAATAGAACCACCTCTATCGCTCGATCCAGTCGACCCAAGCGTCGCAGGCACATCACACAACGACACTACACCCACACTAAATGGGACAAACACAAATAGGACAACGAATGGGACGATTTTATAGATTTTATAGAGATTTTATACGTGGTAGAGCCATGCTGCAGTTATATTAGATGTATAGTTGTAGCACGAATGGGTCGGCTCGACCGGGGAAGGACCACGCTCTCACAGAATACCAGCGTGAAATAGTAGCTTAATGCTGCTGTATTTCGTATGGTGAGTGTAGAGAACCGGCGACCCATTTTACTGGAAACGAGGCATTCCATCTTAGTCCTCACGGGTGACAACACATCTGCATTTTGATTCGTAATCGAGGATAGATGTAGATGTCTATGGGCCACAGCAACCATTTACCATCAGGTGGACTGTGTGCTCGATTGTCACCATATCCTATAAAAAAAAAAATAACGCGTCGCACCCGCAGACGGGCACGACGCGTTCCAGCTCACACCGCGTACACACCGTACATCCGCGTTCCTGGACGGTTCTCACCGCCCAGACCATCGACCGACACGAGCTGAGCAGTCAGAGACGGGGGTCCGCACCCCCCCCCTCGGACTGCGGTTAGATAGCTCAAAGAAAAACGCCTAAAAGGCGACATGATGATTGGTAACAATATCAAATCATAAACCATCTCATCATCATTTTCACCTCATTGCCTTTCCCTTTTTAATTAGGCCTGCAAGGCCGCGAGCCCTGAGACAAAATGAAGCTGTAAGAGTCGCATAGACTAACAGCACTAACATCAAGATAATAGAGCCGATTCTTCATTCGAGCGGCGGCAATTCAAGCAACAGCAAGCAACCCGAACAGAAGAACCAACAAAATCCCTATTAGTGTTTACTACAGCAATTGTAAATAGTGTAAATTTAGTGTGTCATTTGTCAAGTAATTTAATTTCTACTCAACCCCTTTTATAGTCAGACAGATTTAATAGTTAAATTCAGTTGCAAAGTAAAATAGTAACTCCTAGCGTATTAATAGAAACACAATAAATTAAATACAGTCCACTTGCTTTCATCCCCTACATTTCTTTGGTCCTTCGAGCCGGATTGAAGACAGAAGATCAAGATCATGAGTGAAGAAAGAAGATAGAAGATTATCTCAAATCTTTCCCTGTTTCTGAATCTCCGTCAACCATTAACGTCGTTAGTCGTTTTAACGACTAACTTTCTCGTTTCTACCGCGTTTACGCGGCTGGCCGAATACCACCTAACGGTGCCAAACGGTATTCGACTGGTAACGCCCCTTGTGGCGGGAACGGCAACCCATACGTGCGTCTTTTTGAAGACGATCGGAAGCCGCAACGTGGGACCATGCGTAAGACGCGAAGCCAGAAAGCCAGGAACGACGACGAAATGCCGGTAGGAGTACGCGTGTTCGAGGAAGCCCCCGCGTCTCCACTCGATTATCTGTCGACATCCGCGCCCTCCGTCGCACCCGCGCCGACGCCAGCAACTATGCCCGCGCCCGCGCCCTTATCCGTCGCAGCGACGTCGCGCCCCGTTATGTCCGTGTCGAACAGTGATAGATTAGAAAGTAGTACAACCGCGCCGCGTACCGATACACTCGCCGCGATTATAGAAGATGTTCCGGCAACAGAATGTAGTTTGACGATGCAACCCGCCGCGCCCGTAGCAATCGACGCTGTAAATAGGCCCGCACCGCGCGCCCCGTCAGTTCGTTCAGCCCGGTCAACAGCTAGCGCGATAGCCAGAATTAGGCAATTAGAATATAAGGCAGCAGAAGAGCTCGCTGCGATTCGTAAAAAGCAGTTTGAGATTCAGGAAGATCTAATTAAGAAGAAATACGCTAGGGACATTGCACAGTTACAAGAAGAAACCGATAGGGAAAGTCTCGATAATGACAATAGGAGCCGTGTGGATCAGTTACCCGCGGCTTTTCCCGCATGGTCACTGGGTAATGAACTATCCATTGCTTTTTGAATTGAAAGAAAACTGAGTTTTATAGATTTGTCAGAGATGCAGCCATTAAAAGAAGCAGAAACTGAGCAAAATTGATTCGTCAGCCTATTTAAATGTTTTGAAACGCAGCGTATAGGAAAGCATGAAAATAGCCTGTTTATTCCAAATGGAAATGTGATATTTTTTTAATTAAAGGAAACTGAGCATAATTATCCGTCAGGGACGCAGATTTTTGAAAAGAAAATGAGCTAAATTGATTCGTCAGAGATGCAGTTATTCTGGATTGAAAGGAAAGAGAGCCAAATAAAAGATCCGTCAGAGATGCAGCCTTTTGAGTTGAAAGGAAACTGAGCTTAATAGGTCCGTCAGAGGTGCAGCATTTGGAATTGAAAAGAAACTGAGCTAAATAGGAAATTTTGAATTGAAAGGGAAAATCTGTGGGAATTCTGATTAATTGATTGTGGGAATTTTGGAAAAAAAAACTAACTGAACACTATTTTAAGACGCTACTGTACACAATGTTATATGTTTTTCCATTCGGGGAAAGAATGTGGATATTCTGGGCATTTGACACATGAGAACATGCTACATACAGCTGACCATGAGAGAGGCACGGTTTTTCTAAGTTGACCCCCGCTACCTGTAACGGCTGCCCTTGCGCTTTATTTTGTCATTGCAAAACTGAGCTTAATAGGGAACTGCAACCTTTTGAATTGAAAAGGAAGATCTTAGGGATTATGGGGATTAATTAATTATATGTGTTCATTGTATGTCATGTTCGCGTGTGTTTGCTGTAACCTTCGCAAAATATCTTCCGCCATGTACTCTTTATATTTGTCCAACAATTCATGTGCATTAGATAGCCAGCAAGGTGATATGAGAGTTGCATGCAACAAGATTTTTTTATGCATAAAGATTCCTAATTTTCTCTGGTGACTGGCACTGCACAGCTTCCTCCATGGTTATATTATGTCGTTAGTATGCATCAATTAATTCAGAATTAAGTTTTTTCTATTTTTTTTCTATAGGAAAAGGGTGACAAGCGAGCACACAGTCCACCTGATGGTAAGTGGTTGCTGTGGCCCATAGACATCTACATCCATCCTCGTTTGCGAATCAAAATGAAGATGCGTTGTCAGCCTTGAGGACTAAGATGGAATGCCTCTTTTCCAGTAAAAAAGGGTCTCCGGTTCTCTACACTCACCATACGAAACAGCAGCATTAAGCTGCTATTTAACGCTGGTATTCTGTGAGAGCGTGGTCCTTCCCCGGTCGAGCCGACCCATTCTTGCTACAACTATACAATTTATATAGCTGCAGCATTGCTCTACCACGTAAAAAAGTATTCCTTGGTTTTCGAGAGACGAAAGATATTATAGCAGAAAATTTTATACAATAATGTGCAGACTTAGATTTGGCCACTATCGACTGAACGCTCATCTTTCCAGGATGAGAATAGTAGCATCTGCAACATACAATTTCTGTGATACAGAAGCAGATCAGACTGCAGAACATATAATACGTAACTGCCCAGCGTACGCCGTAGAAAGATTGTTACTCATTGAAAAACTTATACAAATTTATGAAAACTCAGAAAGTGTCCCGCGTGCCCTGCAAGATGTTCTTAGGAATACTAAGACATATTTAGCACATTGCAATTTTATTCATAATACTGTAAAAGAAATATGAAATATAGTATTCCTGTTTTTGTAAATATTGGACTGATAAAACTATATGGATTGAAACTTATAAAGATTATAATATAAAGAAGATTTGGCTTTAGCCTTTATGTTTTTTGAAAATATGAAGAATTTAAGAAAATAAGACATGTCTTCGGTCTTTATGGATTTTGAAGAGATGGAAAGAAGAAAAATAAGACTTGTTTCCGGCCTTTACACTTCAAAATTCTATATATTCAAATTAAAAAAGTCAAGGCTGTATGACTTACTTCCTTTGCCTGCTCTCTCGAGCGAATAATAAAAACAACAACCATAAACATGTAATTTTAAATTTAATGACAACACCGTAACTTCTCAATTTTAAATTTCAACGGATTTTCGTTATCGTCAAGATTTGTTTGGCATTGAGTAGGACGTGTTTTTATAGATTTTATCTATAAAATATTTATTTCTGACTTATCTGATTTCCATGCGCAACGTTTGACTATATTATTATTCATAAAATTAAAATTGATACACAATAAATATTGGGCTTAGTGTTAGTTAATGTAAAGGCATGGCCCAATTCAATTATCTAAACGAATTAAACAGTTTAGCTACAATGGATGGGCCGATAACAAGAGGCCCTCTTCAACGATGGGCGAAGAAGACTACCAACGAGAATATCAATCCATCGTTGAGCGCATCTTTCAAAAATGTTTCCAACGCAAACCTAAGCTCTTGCAATCAGTCAATGCAAAAATTGTCAATATCAGCAAATCAAAGTTGCAATAACAGTGTGTTATCTAGTAGTAAGACTCCTACAAGAAATGAAAACAAAAAAGGGAAAAAGACTCCCTCGAAGAACAAATCTCCAGGTGAGTTTTAAACGTAATTAAAAACAAGCACTATAGTACGTTTCTAGGGCAGGCGGAAAAAAGTACATTGACCTTTGACGATATCATTGAGGTAGGCAATCTTTTTTATTTAGGTTAATTTTTTATCCTTTTATCATTACATATATCATTAGAGTGAAAGATAAGGGTGCCGAGTGCGAAGTTCTTTACAGACCCTATGTTTATTATTCTATAATAAAGAAAGAAGATTATCCTGTACCAAAATGAGTTAAAAAGCAAATTGATATTAATTTAAGTTTATTATTTATAAATCATGAGTTATTACAATTTTCATCATTAAGTTAATAGTAGGTAAGTACTTAAAAATAATTTAATAAAGAGAAGAAGGAAGAGTGGAGTAAATGCTGTGGATGGGGTCTTTAATTTTTATGGGGGGGGTGGGTGGGGAAGGGGGGGGGGCGGAAATTTTTTAGAAAAGGGGGGTTTTTTGGGGGGCGTTTTTGAAGTAGGTAGGTAGGTAGTTGTATAAAACATAACCACTTCTTGGCAGTCAGGTAAAAAAACGAACTTTTAATGCTAATCATTCTTAAGCAGCCAACCTTGAAGCATGCATAAAACTTCTCATAATAGATTGTCAGAGACACTTGATAGGCTATTCATCTTTATCTATTTCAGAATCATTTTATGATGATGAAGACGTAGAAGAGTCCGTCACATTGATTATAACCTAAAATATCTTCAGTCTTCTTTTTCATATCCGTTTTGGATGGATATATGTCACCAGACCACGTTTCTTTTACATATTTATTGATGTTTACAATCATTATTTTTTCGTAAAGTCTTTATAAGATTTTCATGTGCGTGGACTCGATTTCATACTAGTGATAATATACAAAACGTCACAAAACAATAACAAAAACTTAAATACAACACGTAATAATACAACTAACAAAACAAACTTAATAAAAATTAAAATAACCACTACAATCGAAATCTTTAAATCTCAAACTATACGTAAGACAAAGCAGAATGAGAAATGAGTTCTGCTCCATCTGCTTTCTTAAATATGCACGGAGTGAGACCTATTTTAAAATCGCGTCGAAAAAGGGTTTACTTTCTCTGAATGACTGCTTCCTTCACCCTACCCCGTACCATGAGACATGCTTAGCGCATAACAATATGTAATCTATAAAGAAATGTATGGAAGCATTAACTGTCATTTTGTTTTGATGCTAACATAATACTTGAGGTCAATGTACTTTTTTCCGCCTGCCCTAGAAACTTACTATACAAGATAACATGTTACATGTGTTTTCGGTTAGACATGTCTTACAAGTAAATAAAAGACATTGCAACTGCTCCATGTATCCGTAAAGGGACCAATAAATTTTATAAGTTTTTAAAAGTTATTGGTGTTTGATTCTTCTCAACACAATAAACAAGTTATACAAGTTTAAAAAAAATATGTTGTATTGCAGGTCGTTCAACTACACCTACTCCTAATAAAGCTTCTAAGACCCCTAATAAAGCTGACAGATTTATCCCTTCTAGGAGTAATTCAAACTATGATTTGTGTCATTATATGGTAAGTTGTAAGTTACAAATATTTTAAATGTAAGTAGTTTAAGTTAGTTTTAGTTTAACTACTAATTTATGAAAATCAAAATTAGAAATAAATGTACTTTCATTTATTATTTATTTATTTATAAATAGGTTTTAAATAATTTGTATAACATAAGCTTACTATAGTTCTTTCTACATATCACAGATGAGTCGTGATGAAGAAAAAGGTGAAGAAGTTGTTACTCAGACAGCAGCTAGTGAGGCCATTGGGAGAGCACTTACAGATACTGAACCAGGAAGATTGCTGCAGTACACATGTAAAGCACCTGCTGCACCTGAGGGTTACCAGAACAGATTACGAGTTGTGTACTCACAAGTAAGAGTACTCACAAGAATCTATCTCTAGAATATAGATATAAAATACTAGACTGATTAATATATAGTTATGCTTTGTTATCATTATTAACATTACATCTTAGTCAAAAGTGCACCCTCATTTTGATTTTTTTACGGAGAATAGATCTGTCAAAGGACTGGAGAATTTTGATGAGCACACCAAAAACTTAATTTCTTTATTAAAAAAAAAATCATGCTTAACCTAATCTGTTTTTTTTTTTAAATTAACACTAAATGTTATTAAAAATAAGTTTGCTACTTATGTACTTAACATATAGCAAACTTATTTATGAATAAATTATAAAGTGAATATTAAGTAAGGATAATTATAACACATTTTCAGGCCAAAGTTCCTTCATCAGTGAAAAACACCACAAGATACATTCCACAAGCCCCTGATAGAATACTTGATGCTCCTGATATTTTGGATGACTATTGTAAGTTTATATATTATATATTATTTAGGTACATCAGATGATTTTACGTTAGAAGATTACTTTAACTAACAATATTTTATTCCTCAGATCTTAATTTGGTAGACTGGAGTGCATCAAACATTCTAGCAGTAGCTTTAGGCAATTCAGTGTACCTTTGGAATGCTGGAACTGGACAAATAGAACAACTTCTAACACTAGAAGGCTCAGAGACAGTTTGTTCTGTGTCTTGGGTACAAGGTGGTGGTACACACTTAGCTGTTGGTACTTCGACTGCTACAGTTGAACTGTGGGATTGTGAGAAAATAAAGAGATTGAGGGTATGTAAATTATATATAATTTTAAACATACATAGAAGTAATTTAAAAGGTAATAATTTAGCAAATTTTGACTGCACAAAAATTCAAATATATATATATATATATATATATATATATATATATATATTTAAATTATAAATATCGTCATCATTATCATTATGAAAGCCCATCACAAGTCAACTGTTGAGCATATGCCTCCTCCTTGTAATGCCACAAGGCATATTCCTGAGTTATCTGCAACCATTAACTCTGCACTCTGTCTAGTGAGAAGCCACCTTACACTTAACACCAATGATTATTTATTTTATTTAATGGATAGTTATGGTATTTAATATCTATTTAACCATGTGAGTATTAAATATATCTGTGGACTGACAAGAAGATCCTGGAGCTGGAAGAATTGCATTATTTAGTTGGGATATTATTGCATTATTTGTTTTCCAAAGAGAGGGGGTGGACATAGTAATCCTCCAATCTTTCAATTTGTTCTAACCCTGGGAAGGGGACCATTTAATACTGCTAATAATAACATACTTATATTGCAGTTGATGGATGGGCACACAGGCAGAGTGGGCTCACTAGCATGGAACATGTACATAGTTTCCAGCGGTGCTCGAGATGGTAACATTGTGCACCATGATGTGAGGCAACGTGAACATGCTCTTGCTACTATCAATGCACATTCACAGGAGGTAAGTTTTATGTCTGTAGGTGTCCTAAGGGCAAAGCGCTGAAGTTCTTATGACTTCTGAAAGATAGTGTTATCACCATCATATATTATACCAGATATATAATACACATACCAGTGAGAATAGCAGTGTCAAAAATAAAATACGCAAAATTATTCCTTTAGGTAAATTGCGATTGTCTTGAAGTTTTACCACAGAATAAATGATTGTAGTATGTACAGATTATTTTTTCTGTTTGAGTGTGATGATATAAAATTAAAATATATAAAAGGGGGAGGGGATGGTAATTTTAAAAAAATAAATTTTAAATGGTTTTACAAAAATTTGTGTTGGTGTGTGTTGCACTCCTTTGATTTTGACTGCTTGCCGACGTTTTAATTGTCTACATAGTTATTATTAATTAGATAAATCTGTCAAAAAAGCGTAAAAAATACATTTTTAATGGTAAGTTAATTACTTATGGTAAGGTACCTATTCTGACTATAATCTAATAGGTACCTTATTCACAACTATGTTAGTTCTGCGAGACCCAATGCTTGCAACTTGCAAGGCCAATCATTGCGAATCACGATGCTTGGCTAGGAAGAAATAGGTAAGTAGTTTAAAAAATAAATAAACCCGAAATACGGTTCCTACAAGTATAGGTATATAAGTAGGTACTTCGATAGTGAAGTAAATTTCAACAAGTTCTGTAATTAGGTACTTCCGTAGTTAAATCACTACTCCATTCTTTTCTTTGCTATGAAAATACCATGGTAGTTTATATTCCTTCTACTTACATCAGTACTTAATTAAGTTTAAGTAGTTACCAAACAAAAAATTAAATATGAAATAAATTCATCTTTCATTATCCTTTGGTAACATAAAAAATTATAAATCTGAATCCTTTAGTTTCCTTATAAAGCATCCATCCATGCAAAAATTGTAGTACAAATGATGTTTTGCCATTTATAATTCATCAAGATCATAATATTATGTATATATATATATATATATTTATTATTAAAACACTGTTAAAAATTATAAATTCATTCACCTAGAATGCGCAGCCCCCGCTATGTATCTTACCTTATTTTTTATAATTATATTTATAATATCTATATAATTATATTTTATTTATATAAATATTATAAATTTTAATATTTATATTATTATATTTTATTATAACACGCAGGTAGCAAGAGTGACAGAGGCATGGTTTTACATAAAAAGTCTACCTTACCATGCAAACGCCTGATAGTAGAAAATCATCCAAAAATACTAAATACAAATTTCACTGATAGTTGATGTTGAACTTGAAGCATCATATTATGTAGGGAACACAACACTGTTCTCACATGTAATGGAGAAAATGTTTCTTGTAATGCTAACCCAAATTTGACTGAAATTTTGGTATATCTTAGGTGGTTGAAATCAAGGTTTTGGAATAGACAGATAAATCTGTTTAAAAAGAATTGGGAAAACAACTAAAATAAAGAAATCTGAGGTGGTTCCTAAAACACACGTAACAAATTTTAATTTATAATTTAATGAAAAATGTGCTCAAATAAATACTGCCAGCATTGCAAATTTTTTGGGTATTTTGTTTTGGTATTAGGGTTACGCAAAACACTGGCCATTAGAGAATATTTGTGCCATTAAGTTTTAATATTGTTAACAACCGTGGTGTTAATGGTATGATATGATAACTGTCACTTTTTCAATAAACTCTTGTTTTATTCAATGTACTCTTGATTAATCAAGATACACAATTTTTTATATAGAACAAAGATAAGTGGATACTGTAGCCCAATATCAATCCGCAATTAAGAATCAAAATGCAGATTTGTTGCCACCCCTGAGGATTGAGATGAAATGCCTAGTTACCAGTATAAATAATGTATAGTTCTATTCATTCACCAGCATTCTGTGAAATTCTCTTTCGTATTCTTATTTATAATCCCGTAATGTCTACTGCTGCAAACAGATGATTGCAGTATCTCCCATCTTTGATAATGCTTGGTTTAGATATTTTACAACTAGCACATAAAAGATGGTTACACTCCCTGCTATGAGAGACTATAAGATCTATTACTTACCTAAGTATACTCTTTGACATGCACAAGATGAGATGGGATAATATCACCACACATGCTATCACTTCTAATTAATTGATTTTTTTGCTCATTTACAGATTTGTGGGTTAAAGTGGTCCCCTGATGGCAAGTACCTGGCATCAGGTGGCAATGATAATCTACTCAACATCTGGCCAATTGTTCAGGGACAGCACTACACACAACCTCAGTATCTCTATTCTTTTAAGTAAGAAATCTTCTCTATTATGCATGCTTTAGTAAAAAAGTGGTTCAGCAATTACCTTTATTTACAATTATCCTTTTAGGATTTGCACACTTGTGTTTTTATACATTGTTAATGTCTACAATAGATGCAATTAAAAAAAAATATCATGTTTTGATAACAAAAATGAAAACCACTAACTTACCCTGTCATGCTTTTTGCCAACAAACTGGCTTAAAGTTTGACAAAATTAAAAAGTGACACTCTTTTAAGAATAAATAAAAAATGTAATAATGGCTGACAGACTATCTTATGTTCTTAATGAAAAGGACTTATATTCTCAAAATATTTAATAACATAACATAAACACTCACGCCTGTCACCCAGAGGGGTAGGCAGAGACCACGGACTTCCATTTGACACGATCCTGACATACCTCTTTCGCCTCCTTTACATCCATATATCGACGCATACATGCTCGTCGGTTAAGGGTACTTTTAACGTGGCCCATTTTCAAAATATCGCCAATTTGGTCGATAAACTTTTTTCTAGGGCGTCCCTTCCCGACTCTGCCGTTCACATCTGCCATATAAATTTGTTTTGTCACTCTTTCCTCATTCATTCTTTCTACATGACCAAACCACCGAAGCATTCCTTTCTTAATACTGGTCACAACATCATCTTGCATACCACATTTATCTCTTATCATGCAATTTCTCACCCTGTCATTCAGATTCAACCCTAGCATACTCCTTAAAGACCGCATTTCTACAGCATTTATTCTACTTTCGTGCTTCTTCTGCCACACCCAGCTTTCACTACCATACATTAAAGTAGGGACTAACCCAGCATTATGAATTACTATACGTGTCTTTTTTGATACATTCTGGTTCTTCACAATAGAGTGTAGTGCCCCATTCTCTTTATTCCATGCATTTACTCGTCGTTCTATATCCCTACCATATCTACCATCCCTGCTAAATACACATCCCAAATACACAAACTCATCCACTTGCTCAATTAACTCTCCTTCTATTCTTATTTCACATACCGTTTTGCTTTCCTCTCTTTCAAAAACCATCACTTTCGTCTTACTTGCGTTCACTTTCATTCCCCTTTCTTTTAATGCCCAGTTCATTAATGTAACCATTATTTGCAACTCAGCCGCCGATGACGCAAATATGACTTGATCATCGGCTACAAAAGGCATTTGACGGTTAACTCGCCCATTCTTAACCCACATTCTTCATCTTTCAAAGTTGGCAAACACCTGTCCATAAATAGGTTGAACAGCCAAGGGGAAGCCACACAGCCCTGTCTGACACCCTTTCGGATGCCAAACCAGTCCGAGTAGACCCCATTGATCCTGACACAAGCACTAGAATCCCTATAAAGAGACCTCAATGCCTGTATCAAACCAGCGCTCAACCCATATGAGTTCAGTGTTTGCCATCATAACACATTCCTGTCCATTCTGTCATAAACCTTTTCCAAGTCCTTGAACGCACAAAAAACTTTCTGGTTTTTACCCAAAAACTTCTCCGCAATCATGCGCATGGAAAAGACTTGATCTGTACACCCCATTTCCTTTCTAAAACCCGCTTGCACATCCCAAATTTTTCCATCAGTTTCTTTCATAACTCTTTCAATTAACACCTTAGCATACAGTTTACCCACAATACTAAGCAAGCTGATACCACGGTAGTTTTTGCAGTCCTGCTGTGACCCTTTTCCTTTATATATTGGTACTATAATTGCTTTACACCAGTCATCCGGTACCTGTTTTAGTTCCCAACAAAAATTAAACAAGGTGTACAGCAGGCCTGCCACCACTCCCTCTCCAGCCCTTAGCATCTCGAGTGATACTCTATTATATCCAGCTGCCTTACCTGCTTTCATGCTTTTCATTGCTTTTATTATTTCATCTACACATATCTCCATACCCCTTTTTCCACTTCTTTCGGAATTTTTTGTACATTTAATTCAGACGACTCTTCACTCATAAACACACTTTCAAAGCATTCCTTCCATCTGTTTAAATTCGAAACTTCATCATTCAGAATACATCCATTCTCGTCTCTTACAGCATTAATTATAGGCTGTTTTGTATTTCTCCTGGCAGTTCTTACGAGTTTCCAGAACATTTTTATATTATCCTGGAAATTATCAGATATCCTTCTATCATTCTTATCCGTTCTTTCTTTCTTTTTCCTTTCAACTACTTCTTTTACTCTCTTATTTAGACGCCTAAATTCTGCCTTTTTTCTTTTAATCTCATTCATACCACCGGAATTTCCAGCTTTAGTTGCTAGTAAATCTAACCATGCTTTCTTCTTTGATTCAACTTCCACCCGTACCTCATCATCCCACCACAACGTATTCCTTTTCCTTTCATTTGTTCTCTTACTTACACCACATACTTCGGCGGCTGCATCCACCAAACCTTGCTTAATATTATCCCACATAGTATTCAAGTCTAAATCATTCATACACAACTCATTCACAAATTAAACAAGGTGTACAGCAGGCCTGCCACCACTCCCTCTCCAGCCCTTAGCATCTCGAGTGATACTCTATTATATCCAGCTGCCTTACCTGCTTTCATGCTTTTCATTGCTTTTATTATTTCATCTACACATATCTCCATACCCCTTTTTCCACTTCTTTCGGAATTTTTTGTACATTTAATTCAGACGACTCTTCACTCATAAACACGCTTTCAAAGCATTCCTTCCATCTGTTTAAATTCGAAACTTCATCATTCAGAATACATCCATTCTCGTCTCTTACAGCATTAATTATAGGCTGTTTTGTATTTCTCCTGGCAGTTCTTACGAGTTTCCAGAACATTTTTATATTAGCCTGGAAATTATCAGATATCCTTCTATCATTCTTATCCGTTCTTTCTTTCTTTTTCCTTTCAACTACTTCTTTTACTCTCTTATTTAGACGCCTAAATTCTGCCTTTTTTCTTTTAATCTCATTCATACCACCGGAATTTCCAGCTTTAGTTGCTAGTAAATCTAACCATGCTTTCTTCTTTGATTCAACTTCCACCCGTACCTCATCATCCCACCACAACGTATTCCTTTTCCTTTCATTTGTTCTCTTACTTACACCACATACTTCGGCGGCTGCATCCACCAAACCTTTCTTAATATTATCCCACATAGTATTCAAGTCTAAATCATTCATACACAACTCATTCACAAATTAAACAAGGTGTACAGCAGGCCTGCCACCACTCCCTCTCCAGCCCTTAGCATTTCGAGTGATACTCTATCATATCCAGCTGCTTAACCTGCTTTCATGCTTTTTATTGCTTTCATTATTTCATCTACACTTATCTCCATACCCCTTTCCACTTCTTTCGGAATTTCTTGTTCATTTAATTCAGACGACTCTTCACTCATAAACACGCTTTCAAAGTATTCCTTCCATCTGTTTAAATTCGAAACTTCATCATTCAGAATACATCCATTCTCATCTCTTATAGCATTAATTATAGGCTGTTTTGTAAAAATATTTATGCATGAATAAATGCCTATCTGTCTCTAAAACTAGACTAATTAAACGGATAGACTAACACCTTTTATACTTATGACATCATTTATATTATTATAATTTCTAGCCAACATTTAGCAGCCGTTAAAGGGCTAGCATGGTGTCCATGGAGTGCGGGTATTTTGGCTTCTGGAGGCGGCACTGCTGATCGAACGATACGAATCTGGAATGTCAACACTGGAGCGAACCTCAACACTGTTGACACTAAATCTCAGGTAAAATTTAAATCATATAAGGGCATGATTTTAGTCACTATCAATTAAATAGTTTTTAAATTCCTTAGTTAAATATGATTCGCATTTAAAATAATTAATGTGCGAGAAACAACTCTCTACCCTGCCCTGACCAAAACCTATTAACCTACCTAAGGTTAACTAAATTTGTTTTTACAGTGACAGAGAAACTTTTTAAACTATTTTCAGAAAAAGTCTAATGAGTTGAGAAATCGTTATAATACTTCATTTACATAGATTATCATGCACATCACTTCAATGATGATCCACAGGTGGATCCCAAGATACTTTTTTTCATTCTATCCACCTGTATAGGGATCTTAAAATAATAGCTTCTTTTCTATGTTACTTGGACTCACCAATGTCAGGATCAAAACACTTTTGATTGCAATTTCGAATCTCAAGTTCGTCCTGTATTAATCCTTTATTATTATTATAATAATCTCAGAAGTTCAAAACCACCAACGCTTTACGCACAACACGCATAGTGCCATCTGTTGTACAATTAAATAACTAAATTTATTTTATTATGAACTATATTCTGATGTGCTTTTACCATTTAATTTAAATATTTTAATTTTTATTAGTATCTATTTACCTAAATTATGATAGTTTTCATTTTCTAATATTTACATTTATATTGCTAATATTTACATTCATTTCAAAATAAGAGGTGGCGTTGTACGTTGTTGCCATAATAGGAACATAGACTTGTTATGTATTTTACGATAGATGTCGTTACTTGTTGCTGATGTAATTTCTGTATCGCGGTGTTGAAATTTTTTCAGAATTCATGACTATCATAAAGCGGAGCAATGTTGTTATCGCTTCTCGGCCTTTTGGCTAAGATCAAAGTGTAGTATCTGTTCTTTTCAGCTTAATATCTGAAAGTTCCCGCACTGCGGGACCAGTATATTAAACTGATATTTGGAATATGATGGGATGTTAGGGGCTCGCTCCACTCCTGTCACGGGTTGGCCCGGCATTGCAGTGCCGCCGGGATCGGCCCACATAATCTCAAATCTAAACGTATATATGTATATATTTGGAACATGTGACATAATATAGATATTAGATACCAATACTAACCTATAATAGTGATATAATATGGTGTCTGCTTGTATGGGTTGAGTTTTACATGACATGATTCTTATAACTGAAAAACTGACTATATTTAGTGTTGGTGGTATACGCGATTTTTGATAGAGTTTGTTGAGTTTTCAATTTATCCGTATTATATTTACGTATTGATTAATATCTATGGTACATTAAAATTACTTGATCGCACAACGAAGAGTTGAAGTAGTTATTAGGTAGTAGGTATTTCTGTTTTGTATAAATAAATTTATTACTCGTATTCTTTCGCAGTGCCCATGGTTCTTTTGAATTAAAATTCGATTTAGTGTATCATATATCTCTAATAAAAATCAATTGTTGTCCGTTGGTCTCGCTAAAACTCAACGGCTCGAGCGATTTTACTAATTTTTTTTGTGTTTGAATGGGTCCCTAAATGGCTTAGATTCACAATTGGACCCGGTAGGTGGCGCTGTTGTCGAGATCCAGAAATCACCCGTGGGAAGCCGGGCGGATCGGATATATATTATATACGTTACGAATTACGATAGCATAAACATTAAGGTGGTCCTAGTCGATGGCACGAGCTAAGTGGTGGGCGGGGTTAAAATGCATGCTATCCTAACCAGACATCACATGCGAAAGCGAAAGGCATGATGATTTACAATATAAATGAACGCGCAATATTTTACAAACAGACCTCTGGGAATCTGGATATCATGAAAAATCTATTGAATGTATCTGTTCAAAATAAAATTATTTGCACTTTTGAACACCTAATCTATCTCTGTATGGTAACTGTTTTGCAATTTTCGTTCTTCTTATGGTATTTATTTCCGCCTGTGTGTTAAAATTATTGCTTTTAAATACAATCTTTTTTTACTTTTTTGTTTCCATACAGGGCTAGATAATGATGAAAAAAAATAGAAATCATTTTTTATTTTGAACGTACACCATCAAACAATGGAGTAATCGTGAGACTACATTTGTATGGAAGAATGAGTGGCTAGTGTATCCTTAAGAGCAGGTTATAACAGCCTGCTCCTTAAGATTCAATATTTATCAGTTACCACTAACGAGCAATAAAATGTATTGTTATTTTAATTAGACAAATAATATAGTCGGCCTCATAGAATCACTACATTAATAATTACAGCGCATCCCAAGTCTACTGCTATGTACAGTGTACTATTGTGTTCCGTTTTGAAATATACGAGTATGAGAGCCTAGCTATTCCAGACTAGACAGTGACATTGCATCTGTACCTTTATTTGTTTACTTACCTGGATGACTCCAGTAACATCAACTCATGGATGACTCCATTAGTTGATGTGACTTTAATTTTTTTCGATATTATAAGGATGACAAACTAGCACACAGTCCACCTGATGGTAAGTGGTTGTTGTGACCCATAGACATCTACATCTATCCTTGATTACGAATCAAAATGCAGATGTGTTGTGTCACCCGTGACGATGAAGATGGAATGCCTCGTTTTCTCATTCACCATACGAAACAGGAGCGTTAGGCATCTTTTCCATTACACGGTTGTTCAAACGTACGGTGTGTAAGCCGTACGGTTGAAAAAAACGTGCTAGCTTGTACATGATACGGCAAAATCACCGCGCGAGACATTGGTAAGTACTGGCTAGTAGCGCTTTTTACTCGGGCTGTGTAGGACGTGCTGCGTCATGAATTTTCTTACGAAAAAAAAGATTATAGTTGCTTATTACATATATAGGAAAAAGAAAATAGAAAAAAAAGGGAAGTAAGGTTTTGGATACATCCGATTTTAGAAAAAAGGGAGGAATATGGCGCGTTTCATACACTTGTCAAGAATCAATTGAGAGAAGATGAAGACAAGTTTTACAATTATTTTAGAATGCAGAAAACTACATTCGACAACTTGCTCCAAAAATTATCCCAGGAACTAAAACATCAAGATACTTTTATGCGAGAGAGTATATCGCCCGCAGAAAGATTGGCTGTAACTCTGAGGTAAGTAGGTACAAAATTAAATGACATATTTTAGTTTAAAATTGTTTATTGCACACAAACAAAATTATTACATGTAATTGAATTTTAATAATTATTAATTTAAGAACAAGTAAATCAAAAAATACACTACGCTGAAAATGCTACTCAAGTGCGGTACTAAAATCGAATTCGTCTTCAATAGAAACTTGAGAATCTGCCGAGATACTTTCCGCATTTACACTATGTACAGATAATTGTGATTCGGGTCGGTAGTGGATTGGCTCTAAACCAGAACCGTGTCCAAAATCATGAGAAGACGTCTGTGGACGACTTATTCCATAGCTCGATCTAGCAGCTGTAGAATATCCATATGTTGACGATTGCGCATTTGAGGATGCTGTACCACTTAAATATCCTTGATGGCCTTGATCCCATTGGTTTCTTGATGTAGGTATATACTGAGTACACTGTCTTTGTTGAATATTTTTAATTATTGAAATTACTTGAAACTGAAAGTCTATCATATTTTCATCACTGAACTTGTCAACTGTATCAGCGATTCCCATAAAAAAGTTCATACTACGGCTTTTCTTTTTCTCATCTCGTTCTGCTGAATCCATAAACTTCATAAACCTAATGTCAACTTCACTTAGTTCATTTTTTTCTTTTTTTTTTAGCCCTTTGCGTCTCACTCCGTTCAGTGTATCCCGAGCTTGATTGATTCGGGACTGCACTATCAAAATTTTCATTACTGAGGCTAGAATCATGAACATGTTCAGTCATGTTAGAATCGGTCTTGCGATGCTCAACATTTTTTTTTAGGAACATCATTTCATCATAGAACATATATTTTCTTATTTTTTTTTGCTGAAGAACCAGACTTACATTCATTAATTTTTTTTGTCATATTTTATCCAGCTATCTTTCATATTGGTCCACTTCTTCATCACCATTTGCCCTGAAAATAAATAAATAATAATTATTAAATTCAAAATTTATGAAAACCCCCGACCTAAAATGGGGTTTTAGTATTTGAACCTGAACCGTTTTGTTTTATATTTCAGGTATCTAGCAACAGGAGATACCTTTACTGACCTATACTACAGCTATAGAATTGGAATAAAAACCATAAGTTGCATCGTACGTGAAGTATGCCACTACATTTGGTTAGAACTGTATAAAGAATATATGAAAATGCCATCTAAAGAAGACTGGCTACACATTGCAAGCAAATTTCAAGAATCTTCCAACTTCCCGCTGTGCTTAGGAGCGGTCGATGGAAAACACATCAGACTTATTAAGCCAATTGATAGTGGCTCGATGTTTTTAAATTACAAACATTTTTTTTCTATAGTTTTGATGGCAGTAGTAGATAGCGATTACAACTTTATATTTGTTGACGTTGGCGCCTACGGAAAGGAGTGTGATTCCAGTGTGTTTAAAGAGACCCCATTTTGGAAAAATTTAACAAACAACGGATTAAATCTACCCGATGCAACACGTTTGCCAGAATTGACTACGATTTGCCATATGTGTTCGTTGCGGACGAAGCCTTTGCTTTGCATTATCACTTGCTTCGTCCATTTGGTGGTCATCAGCTTGATCAATTAAAACGTACATTTAACTACAGACTCACAAGAGCGCGAAGATTTGTTGAATGTGCGTTTGGCATTTTATCCAATAAATGGCGAATTTTTCACCGGCCAATGAATGTGTCCATCGATTTGGCAGTTGATATTGTGAAAACATGTTGTGTTTTGCAAAATTTTATACATAAGCAGGAAAACTTTCAGTTTCACAATGCGAGTGAAAATGAGTCCACCCTTGATTCAGAATCGGAACTAATCCAGTTACCTATCACGAATGCAGTTCGCGGAAGTTTGGCGGCTAATGAAGTTCGCAACAGATTTGCACAATATTTTGTATCTAACGAAGGTCGCCTCTCCTATCAAAACAACTATGCATAAGTAAAAAGTTAATAATTAAATATCTGTAACTTACCAAATTTGTTTTTCTCATCACCACTTAAATCTTCAAATGTGGGCTGGAAATGAATAAATATTTCTTTCCAGGAATCATATTTAAGCCGCTTATTTTTATAATCGTCGATGGTCTTATCCCATATTACAGGCCTTTCTTGAATCAACGTAATTAATAATTCTTGATTTATGTTCATTTTATAATAAAATCGCGAAACAGCGTATATAAGCGGTCACGAATCCGTGCGTACGTCCGGCACCGTCGACACACCCCGATAGACTGCCATACAACACTGGTGAAAATCACGCCGTGCGTAGACGCGGCGCGCCGAGGGGCAGTCACGGCGCACGCGGCCGCGGCGCCGTGCCTTGGCGCCACCGTGCATGTCGACAAGCTCATATAGTGATCCATACCACACTGACGACCGTGCCTACACGCGGCGAATTAACCGTAGATTTTCACGGCGAGAAACCGTGTAATGGAAAAGAGGCCTTAAGCTACTACTTTACGCTGGTATTGTGAGAGCGTGGTCCTTCCCCTGTCAAGACGACCCATTCAAGCTAAAACTGTACTACTAATATATTGCTGCATCGTGGCTCTACCACGTAAAAAGACTACCGCCAAGGCAACTTTCTTAATGGAATAAGAAAAAGATTGAGTCTAGTGGTTACGATTATTCACAGGTGTGCTCGATTGTGTGGAGCACGCACTACAAGGAGCTGATCTCGGGGCACGGCTACGCGAACAACCAGCTGGTGATCTGGAAGTACCCGCTGATGACGCGCGTGGCCGAGCTGACCGGGCATGTGGCGCGCGTGCTGCACCTGGCGCTCTCGCCCGACGGCACCACCGTGCTGTCGGCCGGCGCCGACGAGACGCTCAGGTCAGCGCTTCCAACTACTCGCGATACTTCATTCACACAACTCACTCAATCAATAGTGTCATAGTTCTCTAGCCGTTGACGAAACGCCCAAGGCGGTGCCTCCAGTCTTATGCCCTTACACTTCGTCTGTTGACGAGATGGTCATTGGCTCAGATTTCAAATGTTGTCATAATTCACCTGCTGATTTCGCCCGAGGGCATTAAATTAATGACGAGACACTGGGTCGGTTGCTTTCTGAATCCTTCGTCTCAAGAGGTATTGTCGCTGCTTCCCGTCTTTAGTCGGGATATTTTACATTTAACATGTATGGGATTGTTATATTGTTAAATTTCCAGTATTAGCATCTTACGATAACCGTGAAACAGGATGAAGGCTTACACTAACGCCGCCACCTCATGTCAACGATTACTTAACTACCTATATTTATATTTTTTGCAGGCTCTGGAAATGTTTCATGTTAGATCCGTCCAAGAAGAAAGAGCCCACTGATTCAAAGGCCGCGAAATCCCTACTTAACATAAATACCTCAATGAGATAAAATTATTTGACTTGAGTGAATAAATTTTTTTTGACTCAAGTCAAATAATTTTATCTAATTGACATTGTAAAATTTGACTGAATATTGTGATCTCCACAATAACATAAGTACATTTTCTGGTTTAATGTGATAAATTAGGTTTTTTATCTAATACTCATTGAAATGAGATCTTTTACATCTATTAATATTGTTTCATAAATGCCATAAATATATTATCATAAGATTATCAATTTTTAAACATTGATAATGAATAATTGATGTTATGATCATATTCTGCCATTTTTGAAGTCTTATAATTTTTTAATAAAGAGTGAAGTTGAGGTCGTAAAATGTTAAAATTATTATTTGTTGTCTTCAAGTCGCAAGTTTCATTTCTTATTTTTGTTATCGCGTTAACCTACGGTGCCTTCGTATTTCCCTTCTCTTATTTCATAAACTAATACATTTCTCTACCTCAGCATCCCTAATTATTAACTTTATAAAAATATTGTGTGGCTGAAATGTTATATCATCGTGTATTGTTTCTATGAATTTAAGGTGTTTAAGATTATTTTGACAACTAATTGCGATGTTTTATTAAACATTAATAAAAGATGAACTGTTTTTTATTTCTTCACTTTTGCACTGCGATAAGATCGGCTTAATTTCAGGAACCATAACATGTTTCATTCGAAACTCCAATATTTGTTTACGCCAATAAGGACTGGACTGGGGTTTGAGTCTAAATTTCTAACACTTGGTAAATTTCATCATCAGGTAATCTGATCACTACCACTTTTAAGCATTTAAGTCTTTTACATGCTTAAAAGTGGCAAAGTCCTACACGCTTTCTTATACAAGGGCGACACTGAAGGTTTTTAGAACTGGCCACTTGTAAACGTTATAGTAAAAAAATAAGTACAAGTTTTGAAAATGGAACTCTTTGCCAATATTACTGTGCGTAGGTATGTATTTTATTAAACCGATGATCGGCGTGAGGGACGGCCTTCTACGGCGACGACTGAAAATAACGTCAGTGGTGTGCGGCGTATGATAGAGACAGACAGTAGAGTGACTTATCAGCAGATTTAGACGAGCTTAGGCATCGGTATGGGTCAAGTGCACAAAATCCTCCATGAACATTTAGCGGTCAGGAAGCTTTGTGCCTGGTGGATACCTCATAATTTGACAGAGGCCCAAAAACTCCGTCGTCTTGATTGGTGTCGTGAAATGGTTCAAAGATGTAACGAAGGTGACTCAAATGCTGTGTTCGACATACTACACATAGCTGTACGGGTGATGAAAGCTGTATTTATTATAGTTTTTTTTATAGAAGAGGGGGCAAACGAGCATGCGGCTCACCTGATGTTAAGTGACTACCGTCGCCCATGATCAACCGCAACACCAGGGGAATTGCAGGTACGTTGCCGGCCCTTTAGAAGAGAGTAAGCTGTTTTCTTGAAGGTCCCCAGGTCGTATCGGTCTGGAAAAATCGCCGGTGGTAAACTATTCCACAGAGGTCGTACGCGGAAGAAAACTCATTGTGAAACGTACAGTGGTGGACCGCCAAGCGTCCAGATGGTGTGGATGGTATCGGGACGTTGGCCGCGTAGTGCGTTCACGAAATTTGTTCCGGAAAACACGCCTGGAATTAATCCGAACAATTCCTCAGAGCACTCCCCATCAGTACCGTCTTTACCATAAGGGCACACAGGGCCCGTTCCCAGGGCCTATCTTCACGGGGGCTAAAGGCATCGGCCTTATTCGCTTACGCTATACATTTTTTTCCTTTATTTTATTATTTTATCTCATTGTAAAGTAGAGCCGCCCTGGTGACAGAAAAAGTCGTGGCTGCCCTCACTAATGACATATTATTTGATTTTTACCGATTAACTATATAAATATATATATCGTAGCAGAAAAATGTTTTTGTCAATCACTTTTTTAACTGCCAACAGGGCCCCAAATTTTTGTATGCCCAAGGACCCCGGTATGATCTAAGACGGCGTTGCTCCCCATGATATATGCTAAAGAAAATGCAACATCTCTTCGCAGCGCCAGTGAATCGAGCCGATCGGAAAGCACTCGGTCGTCGACGATTCGAGCCGCTCTGCGCTGGATGCGGTCAAGTGGAAGGAGCTGGCACTGGGGAGCCCCAGCCCAGAGATGGGAACATTATTCCATGTGCGGCCGAACCTGCGCCTTGTAAAGTTGCAGACGGTGTGCCGGCATGAAATACTGTCCCGCTCTGCTGAACACGCCAAGCTTTTTAGCGGCCAATTTGGTCTAATCTTCCAAGTGTCGCCGCCGAGGATTCCGATACTGGCTGAGGCAACAAGGGGAGTGCCTTGAAACTGAGGAGATACGACAAAGGGGTTCTTTTAGCGGTTAACGCGCAAACTTGTGTCTTCTGAGGGTTAAACTGGACTAGATTTAGTCGCCCCCAATCCAAGACTCTGTTCAGCAAAGACTCGCCGTCTTCCATGATTTTGGGACTACGCCTACTAGGGAGTAAGAGTACCGGAAAAGTTAAAACCGGTGCCAACTCTGGAGCACACGTCCTCAGCACAATTGGGGGGATTCCGTCATCGAGTCGAGTGGGACGCAAAGAAAAAGCCTAGCAGATCGGCTTTTTCCTTTGCGGTATGGGCCAGTGAGTCGTCCTCCCTGTGCAGAGATGGAAGAGATGGCTGACAAAAATTTCCTTGGACAGCCTATATATAGCTGTTATGATCCTAAAACTAAGAGGCAGTCTGCTGTCTGGGTGTTTTCTTCCGAGGAGCTGCCAACTAAAGTGAAGAGTGGTCGCAGAGTGGTAGACTAACAATAGTTTACCACTTGTCTTGGAAAAAGTTTGGGAGAAACGACCTCGCTGTAGGATCCTCCTTCACCACGACAGTGCCTCGTCCGTCGCACACCGCGAAGCAAACAATCGACTACTTGTTGACGTCAGACGTGGGTCACCCGCCTTACAGCCCTGATCTCGCACCTTACGATTTTTATTTATTACCGAAAATTAAAGAAAGACTTCGAGAAAAACCTTTTATGGACGCCGAGGAAGCAGTGGCTGCGTTTCGAATTGCCGTCGATTAGACCCCTTAGGACGAGTGGGCAAAGTGCTTTTCTCAGTATTTCCATCGGATACAGCGATGTATTGATGTAAATGGACACTATTTGAAAAGATATAATTAAACTAATAACTTGCTAGTTTGTTCAGTTTTAGATTTTCTAAGAACTTTCGGTGACACCCTCGTAAATACAGCGTTATAACATAGCGTATTTAATAGCGCGATAGAAATTTATAGTCTGTGGCGTGCTATTGATTTATATGTAGTCGTTCTGAACAACTTGACAAATCATTAAAGCCCAGAGAAGTACACACAAGAACCATAACATAAACACTTACGCTTGTCACCCAGATGGATAGGCAGAGACTACGACCTCCATTTGGCACGATCCTGACACACCTCTCGCCTCCTCCACATCCTACGCCATATATGCTCGTCGGTTAAGGGTACACTTAATTTGGCCCATTTTCAATATATCTTTAATTTAGTAGATAAACTTTCTCCTACGACGTCCCTTTCCGACTCTGTGACTTCTGCAACATAAATTTGCTTTCTCTTTTTCCTCATTAATTCTTTCCACATGACCAAACCACCGAAGCATTCCTTTCTTAATCCTGGTCACAACATCATTATGCAAACCACAATCGCACAATTTCTCACCCTGTCATACAGATTCAGCCCTAACATACTCCTTAACGACCGCATTTCTACTGCGTTTATTCTACTCTCGTGCTTCCGCCACACCCAACTTTCACTACCATACATTAAATAAAGTAGGGACTAAAACAGCATTGTGAATTGCCATACGTGCCTTTGATACATTCTGACTTTCCACAATATAGTGTAGAGCCCCATTTATTTTATTTCCTGCATTCACTCGTCGTTCTATATCCTTATATCTCCTATCCCTGCTGAATACACATCCCAAATTTTCAAACTCATTTACATGCTCGACCAACTCCTCTTCTATTTTTATTTCATCACATCGTTTTACTTTCTTCTCGTTCAATAACAATAACTTTCGTCTTACTTGCGTCGCTTTCTTCTTTGTTTGTTTGACCTGTTCATTAATGTAACCATCATTTGCAACTTGGCCGCCGACGACGCAATCTTTTTACATCTCTTTTCTGCTGTTGTGAGGCCAAAATAATACATAATTATTATCTAAAAATTCTTTTATTGCCTCTAATACAAATAGTAAACAAGGAATGTAAAGAAAAAAAATGTTAAAAGAAACATGAGCAAAAAAAACAATAATTAATTAAGTGCAAATAAATTGTGCGCCGTTCGATCTAATACGAATATTCTATAAAATGTGATGCTGTTATTGCAATCGATAATAAAAATACTGTTAATGGAAGCCGTTAAGTGACTAGAACTAAAATTTTCAAAGAACACATTTTTCACAAGCGACCGATAAATGCAAAAGAAGGAACTAATGATGTCAGAATTATAAGACTGCCGGACTATTTTCTTTTTAATCTTTCTACTTTCAAGAAGTATTATATTGCATTATAATACAACTATAAAAACACAAATTAATAGTAATAAAAGGTTAAAATTCATTATAATAAATATTTTGATATTTGTTTCACTAAACGAATGCACAATTATTTTTTCATTGTGATTAGCTCTCGTTCAATTATAGTTATGCTAAAAATGACACTGTACATAGTTTTTGTAGATACAATGATATTTTGTTCACAACGAAATATTGCTCACAACGAACTTTTGTCCAACAAAAGATACCTACGACGATCGTAAGACCTTACATGAAAAACAAATGCATATTACTAGATTAATTGTACTTCATAACATGTTTTTCATTTATTATAAAATCACAAAACAGTTTACTTATCATAGCTACCATAGATTATTATTTTTCATAATTAAAATGTGATAATGAAATACATTTATTTTAGTCTTTTGTTTCACAATGCACTTATCAAAATATCGCGATCATATTCATTTAAAATATTATTGCCATTTATAGTTTAAACTAGACATTAAAATATCTTAAATTTTATTATTTAGAAAATCTTAATCTAACGAGAACACATTTCATATTAAATCGATACGTTGTTTAAAAAAGAACTTCCTACCAACGCCTTAACACGACTAAGGTTAAAATATTAAATTATTCTCTTATGTAGCTCTGAAGATTAATATCGGTTTAATCGCAAAAGTTTATTTTTAAATATTTTCATTACTCTGCAAGCGACACACCTGTGACCGACGGTAGGAACGACTTTCTAAAAAAATTCATTTGAATAAAAATATGTAATATTTTATACAAACTAATTTTGTTTTAATAGAATATTTTGCGTTGCTGTAACCTACATAATGGTAGAAGAAATCAAGTATCCTTATATTCCTCCTTGTGTAGGCTAAATATTAGTTCCCTCTTGGGACAAGTGCAAATAAAAAAGCAAATTAAAACAAAGAATTATTGTTTAAAACTTGTGTACATTACTGATTTTAAAAGTAGATAACATGCCTGCACATATTTTTTAAAATTAATAAAAACTTTGAAAAGATGTGGCCGATGCTCGACTAAGTGTTCGAACTCAACACAGGGCGCGTACTTTGCCGGCCGATGTTTTTTATATATGGCTTGGCATATAGTCATATGTATCTGTTGGTTAAAGTTCATGATGTAATTCTAGTTAAACCGAGTAACACCACTAGGACGTCATGTGAACATTGCGGTCTGTAAAAATAACTTAATTTTTTATTGTATATGTATTCTAAATCATTTTGTGCCAAAAATAATAATTGTAGTTAAAGAGTATACTTATTACTGTAATAAAATTAGAAAATATATTGTGATTACTATAAACGTTCTCAATGTGATCTCATAAGTAGTTAAAAACTATTTTTGGTTGCAAAATGATAACTAATCAGTAAAATTTTCACTCTTTAAATCAATTTGATTAAGAAAATCTAAGTATGTTTTAATACGCAGGTTTCCAACTCTTAAATATTAATTTTTGACTGCTAAATAGCCGTATAAAAACTATGACCAATGGTATACACTACTGTGAATAAAATACGTTAGGTAGCTAAGAGTTAAGTATACAATTTAAGAATTAAAGTAGCGTAGTAAAAATAAACAAATTTAGTATTATAGCTAGTTACATAGCTCTTAATTTTCAAATAAATAAACAGGCCCATTACGATGCATTTAATAAGATTTTTTTAAATTGATATTAGTATAAGATAACGAAAAAACATAAAATGCTCACTCCAATCGGGTGGCAGCTCGAGCCGCGATAAAATCACACGTTTACACTCTTAGTAGAAATTCATCATTTTTGGAATATAAATTATAAATATAAATAATAAAGGCGAGCCTAAAAATACCGAGTGGATTAGTGAGATTCCCTCTTCTAATTTCGTATTGTCAATTTTATTATTATAATAATCTTAAGACATCATAGAAATTAACACTTAAAATAGAACAACGTCTACGCTTACAATGCGTGGAATTTAAACAATCTGACACGAGTCGCATCTTACGCTTTTGTCGTTGAATTAATGACATTTTTAACTACAAGCTATTATAAATACAAAATTTATTAAGCTCAATCTCTGTTGAAATGTGGCAAATATTATAAAGTAATATGTATAAAAACAGTTATATTTTAATAAGTACAAAATTGTGTACTTTTATGATTGGTTACACGTAATTTTCTATATACGTATATAATAAATTAAATTTTTTAATACCGACTAAATATCAACGATATTTGTTACTGTATGTTGTTATATCAAAATTCAAACACTAAAACAACTGTGACTTTAACAAGGTAAGTTGTGATCGAAGTTTTTTCCTAAAATGAGAAACATCACATGTATATTGTCGTATTCAACAGAGCAGTAATGTGATTATATCGTTTCCTAATACTATATCAACATATACATAAGTACTTTAATAAGTACATGAGAAATAAACACAAATCGAATATATTTTGTATTCAAATAACAGAGCCAAGACTGCGTGTGTGAGGTGGGGAAGCCTCCGCCACCATGGCGGACATGGCGACCGTATTTGATATAGGTTCTATATCGCGCACCAGCTGTTCATTGCTTGTGGATAAAGCACCACCATATTTAAAACTTCTGCGTAAACTGGAACGTATGCTTTTCGCGGAATCGCTCTTTCTTACAAACGAGCGACGGAGATAATCCCGGGTGAAAGTTAGCGAATTCCGGGAGGAAGTGGGTCTGGAGTCAGTCTCGTCGGTGACGGTTATAGAGGGTGTTGTAAAGACACCGCTGTAATCGGGTGGTTGTGTTTCGAGTGGCGCGTTCCGATCCACGCTCTCGCTTAACGTGATGGGTAGTTGTGATGTGTCTTCTGTCGGCGTCTCGTTATGTGATGAAGTAATCCTGTAAATATTTGCAAACATGTGAGTAATACAACAAGAAAACAAAGTTATATAAGTAAGCAGTGTAGAAATGAAGATTTTAGCTATAACCCAAATTATTGATGCAAATTACTAAAACATAGTGCTCGTAGTTTTTGTCGATATGATTGAATCGTTTATAATTAAACATTAGCGCACGCGTAGCATTCAGCATCGTAATGGTTACTACAGCTTATCTAAAGTACATTGCTGAACATAGGGCTTCTAATACAGATGGCGAATACTTTGGGGGATTATTCGAGTGATAGTTTGAAAAGCTGCAGCTTTTATATTTAACCGACGAGTATGAAAGAAGCGAGAGGTATCAGGATCGTGCTAAATGGAAGTCCGTAATCTGCTTTCCTCTTTAGGTGACAGGTTTTTTATAGGAGAGGGGGCAAACGAGCATACGGTTCACCTGATGACCTGATGTTAAGTGAGTACCGCCGCCCATGAACAACTGCAACACCAGGTAAACCGCAGGTGCGTTGCCGGCCTTTTAGAAAGGCGTAAGCTCTTTTCTTGAAGGTCCATAAGTCTGGTCCGGAAAAATCGCCGGTGGTAAACTATTCCACACAGAGGTCGTACGCGGATGAAAACTCCTAGTGAAACGTACAGTGGTGGACCGCCAAGCATCTTTCATCATCATCATCATCATCAAATTTGGCGGCTGGGATTAATCCGAATAATTCCTCAGAGCACTCACTTCCCGTGATAGATGCGATAAAATACGCAAAGAGATGCAACACCTCTTCGCAGCGCCAGTGAATCGAGCTGATCAGAAAGCACTCGGTCGTCGATGATTCGAATGGCTCTGGGCTGGATGCGGATGCGGTCAAGTGGAAGGAGCTGGCACTGGGGAGCCCCAGACCAGAGTTGGGAAAAGTATTCCATGTGAGACCGAACCTGCGCCTTGTAAAATTACAGGCGGTGTGCCGGCATGAAATACTGTCCCGCTTTGATGAGCACGCCAAGCTTTTTAGAGGCCAGTTTGGCCTTATCTTGCAAGTGACCACGAAACTGCACGTCACTCGAAATGTCGACGCCGTGGATTCCAATACTGGCTGAGGCAACAAGGGGAGTGCCTTGAAACTGAGGAGATACGACAAAGGGGTCCTTTTTAGCGCTTATCGTGCAAACTTCTGTCTTCTGAGGGTTAAACTGGACTAGACTTTAGTCGCCCCCAATCCGATACTTTGTTCAGCAAAGACTCACTTCAGATATAAGTTTGTCCCGGTACTCGGAAACGTTATCCATCCACCAATGCTGTCATCCGCATAGCAATGAATGTTACGGGTTTGCAACATATCATTGATATGCAGAAGAAACGGCGTTGGTGATAGCACGCAGCCTTGTGGAACGCCAGCATTAATGGGCTTGTACATGCACCTTCTACAACAACCTTGATGCTCCAATCTGCAAAAAGCTGGCGATCCAATTGCACAATTTCTCGCGAAGTCCATAGGAAGGGAGCTTCGCAAGAAATGCTTTGTGCCAAACCCGATTGAAGGCCTTGGACTCTACTGCCTCCGCCCATCTATGAGTTAGGTAGACCATAAGATCACCAGCTGATCGATCACGACGAAAACCGTATTGACGATCACTAATCAGCTGGTGATCCTCAAGGTACCTCATGAGCTGGCTGGCGGTTGACAATGGACTCCATTGTTTTGGAGAAAAAGGAGGTGATGGCGATAGACCTGTAGTTTGACGGATCTGAGCGGTCGCCTTTTTTAGGGATCGGGTGGACGACTCATCTTCCATGACTTCGGGACTACGCCTAGGAAGTAGGGTTACCGGAAAAGACGCGTTAGAACCGGTGCCAACTCCGGAGCACACGTCCTCATCACGGTTGGGGGTATTCCGTCAGGCCCACTCGACTTGTGGATGTCCAGGGAGAGGAGTGCTTTGCAAACCGAGCGCTGTGTGAACCGCACCTCCGGCATGGTCGGCGGTGTGCTTCCCTGCCGAGAGTCGAGTTGGACGCAAAGAAAGAGCCTAGCAGATCGGCTTTCTCCTTTGCGGCGTGGGCCAGTGAGTCGTCCTTCCTGTGCAGAGATGAAAGAGATGGTTGACAAAAATTCCCTTTGACAGCCTTGACAAGAGACCAGAATGCACGGGTTCCAGAAGGAAGGTGAACTAGTTTTTCGCCAATTCTGCCTATGTGCTCTGACTTTACCTTGACAATGACTCTTTTGAAGGACCTGGAGCATAGAGAATATAACCACTAGAGAGCGTATAGGCAGATTTCTTCTAAGCACACGACTCACTACTGCGGGCCGGGGGACGAGGAAGAACGCGTGGCTGCAAATGGTCAAGTTGCGTTGTTATGGCTATCATTAGGGTTGCTCTTCTTAATAAAGGAAAATATCGATAAAATGGATTTTATCATTATGAAAAATACTATTATATAAATACAATTAAAATCATAGAAATAATATTTAATCAAAATCAATCGGTTACATCGAAAACATGTATTTATTATATTATTATTGTTTTTTTAAATGAATTAATTTGTTACATTTATTTCGAATTAAAGTTTAAGGGTCCTGATTGTTCTTTGTAAAAAACATAAACAATATTTGTAAATTATGCATCTTGCTAATTCAATTAAATTATTTGTTGATTCTATTTCAAATTGATGAAAATGAATATCCGGGAATCATAATACCCAATCAGAGATTTTAAAACCGATCTTATAAAATAATTGGTATTATATTTCGAAGACAGCACTTTTGAACTAATCTCATTGATCGCCCTCTTAATAAAAATTTTACAACGACGACAAATATCTATTACTATAGTGGATCCATATAATAACTTGTCTTTAGTGTCCTTTTGAAATTGTAAGCCGTTCTGATTTGGTACACCAATTTAACTAGGTAACTATAAACTTTAGCTAGAAAAAAATACCGACGAACTGAGAACTTCCTCTTTTTTTCTGAAGACGGTTAAAAGTAGATAAGTATTTTTTTTCACAGTGTGTGAATTGAATAATCTTTTTATTAATTTTAATTTTATTATTTTCGATATCGATTTTCAGCTATTAAAGGTAACAGTAAGTACTAATTTTTACGATAAACATACAAAGGGAAAGAAAGGGATAGAAGCATTAGAATTGTCTAATAATAGAACGAGACTTTTCCAAAAGACATCAACGCGCGACTCAACCATGTCGTCATTTACCCGGCCGACCGTTTTAGATAGACCTCTGCGGTAGCTCATAATCTGAATTAATCAACAATAATTTTCGTATTTTTACTTAGCAATGAAAAGTTACTCCATTCTTTTTGGACATCTGTTCTGGAATGTTTCCTACACCACTTCACCGCGCATGAAAGCATTTTGATGAATTATAATTGCATAAAAGTTATCAAAATTTGCATTAATTTAGCGTGCACACAGGTCTAACACTTGGACAGTACTAAAATGGTAAATAGCACCACAGCCTATGCATAGGCGACAAAATACTAATAGTTTTCGAGCGTCGGGACATTGTATGCGCAGTCAAGTGGTTATATAGTCTTTGACCTGGAGGCGGAATTATACTTCTTTTTTTACGGCGCTGGTGTTTACATACCGGGACGTTGATGTGTCAGCGCAGGCCCGAAAGTAGCGAGTAGAAGTAGCGAGGTACTTACTAGGGGGAATATTTGCTCATCGCCGATCAGGATATTTTCACCCAGTATAAACGTTCGTCATTCATAATCTGTACAGCAAAGGAGTGAAATAATGTGCCCGCATCTGTCTTACCATCAGATTGTAATGCGCAGCGTGCGCAAGCTGCGGCGCAGCGTGTTGAGCAGCCTGGCGCCGGTGGCCGTGGAGTAGGAGGGCGGCGACGTGTACTTGTGAACAACTACAGAAGTAGCGAGGTACCTGCACAGCGTGCGGCGCAGCGTGTTGAGCAGCCTGGCGCCGGTGGCCGTGGAGTAGGAGGGCGACGGCGTGTACTTGTGAACAACTACAGAAGTAGCGAGGTACCTGCGTAGCGTGCGCAAGCTGCGGCGCAGCGTGTTGAGCAGCCTGGCGCCGGTGGCCGTGGAGTAGGAGGGCGGCGGCGTGTACTTGGGCGGCGGGTCGGGCGGCGCGGGCGGGCGAGCGGGCGCGGGCACGGGCGGCGAGCCCTCCACGCCGCTACCCATGCGCGGCCGGTACAGGTTCTGCACGCGCTGCGCACAAACATCACGCGTCACACGCACTGGCACGTCAACAACGTCACGATCGCTTACATTTCTTGAGCTTTAACTAAAACCGACGAAGCGTTGCGTGCATTTCAAATGACGCAGAAACCGTGCTCTACTACTTAACACTTTATTAACCCATAAAAGTCTATTGAACATAACTCTGTCAACTATATTGTTTGTTACAAATTATTAAAAATGCATATTTAAGTGTGAGTGCGTATTCCTTATAGTCTGTTCGTTAAGATAGTGCCGGTACACCCGGAGGCGCAATTATTTTATTATTTTGCTTTTATTTTATTATTTTTTAACGGTGTTGTTAAATATATGTTTTACTATTCTAAGTATAAATTAGAATACTGTTTTACTCGTTATCGTTATTGTAATACTTATTATTATTATTATTGTAATAAAATACGAATATAAATAATAAAAACAAGTTACGTAGCAAAGCGAATATAAATGAAAAATATGAGTGTAGGTGGGTAAAGAAAGATAAACGAAAGTAAAACATACACTATTCTTCATCATTGACGTGTCCGAGTCATTGCCACCTGTATTAATAATAAGGCATTCAACGTCATCACCTTCTGAATCCATACTAAAATAATATTTTTGTTATTGGTCCACTCAAAATTTTTAACATGAAAAAACATTTTCTGTATACGTAGCAGAATCAACAAAACAACCTTTCACTACGGCGTATCGTTTTAAAATTCCAAATCAAATTTTCTCTGCGGGTGTACGCCGCACGCGGCGAACTTTGAGGTCACGACGTCACGTCACGTGCTGAGGAGGCGGCACGACACAAAAGCGACCCTATCTAAGCGAACAGACTATACACTAAGTGGGGGTATGGTATCGATGTTACATGAAATGTAAGCAGCGCTCCGTCTATATTTCTTTGTCGGTCTAAAGCAAGAACTTGCACGCCAGTGACAGTCAGATTCCTAATAACAACTCAAACTAATTAAAAAAAAACTACGGTTGCCAATCCGCTTTCTAAACGTCGGAACTATGACAAATATCCCTACGACAATGTGGGCCATCTAACGTTTGGAACTGGAACTATAGGTTATTTTTGAAGTTGGTAAGATTTAAAGACATTTCTGATGTGACAGAGAGTTAGTTTTGTAGTAAACATTTATAAAAAGGGTCGCTTTTCGCTTGAAAAAAGTTGGGAAATATTAAAAACATATTTCCAAATTGGTGAATTTTCTACTCAAACTGTCAGAAATTTAACAAAATGGATGTGTCAAAAACGCAGTTTGTGGATCAATTTGTAAAGCGAGTTCGTGAAACTGGATCGTTGTTGGATAAAACGACCCGTGTACGTACTCGTCCAGTGCGCTCAACCGAAAACATCGCTGCTGTTGCTCAGAGTGTGCGTGAAGAACCATCAACAATCAACTCGTCATCGTTCTCAAGAATTGAACATTACACACACTTCTTTATGAAGAATTTTGCATAAAGATTTCGGAATGAATGCATACAAATTCTTTCATATGCATAAAAGTTCAATTAGTGCAAGAACTGAAGCCGCATGACCATCCCATGCGTTTTCGGTTCGCTCAATGGGAAGAAGACAGTTTGATCACAGATGAGCATTTTTACCAAAAAAATCATCTTTTAAGATGAAGCTCATTCCCACCTCGGAGGATACGTCAATAAGCAAAATTGTCGTATCTGGGCCTCAGAAAATCCACACGTCATCGTGGAGAAATTAATGCATCCACAACGAGTGACTGTATAGTGTGGATTTTGGTCTGGCGGCATTATGCGGCGACATTTTTCTTCGAAAATGATCAAGGGAAACGCCATTACAGTGAATGGCGATCGCTACCGTGCCATGCTAAGCGATTGTGTTTCCCGAAATTGAAGAGGATAACAAAGACGACATTAAGTTTCAACAGGACGGCGCAACGTGCCACACAGCCAACGTAACGGTCGATCTTTTGCGTACTGTTCTCGAAAATCGTATAATCAGCCGATATACTGTGGCCACCTCAAAGCTGCGATTTGACTCCGTAGGGCTTTTGTTTGTAGGGAGCCGTTAAGGAAAAGTGTTACGCTAGCCACAGACATATGAATATCTATCATTAGTTCGAGTATTGTAAGGCCAGTCGTGGAAGTCATTTGAATGATGTTGTCTTCAATTCCAACATGGAAAGATTTATCTATAGATAGATCTTTCTAATAACTGATGAAATATTCATTAGTTTTTTTTTGTTTTTTTTTTTAAATAGCCGAAACAAATTCCTAATCCTAAATGGCACACAGGCAATCTATTTATAGAAACGGATTTTTGATAGACTGCAATGAATGAATGAATTACAGGAGTTGCTTATCTGTGAAAACTTGCAGTTCCCCTGGCGTTAGTAAGTGTAGATGCTATGTTTGCTTACTGCATTCGATTAAAAATTATGTCCTTAATGGTACCCACTGACGATACGTCCATTAATCCAAATGAGGTAATCGTCCAAAATCATACCGTGAATGGTAAAAACATATTCCATTTGGATGGATTTCATCCAGCTCTGGATTTCCAAACGAATTGAAATCCATGCGTCCAGTCCATATGGACGTCATCCGCGGCCGCACGTCAATGTCAAAAACGTGCGCCACGACAAATGGAAGCAGTCCGAATTGTCAGTAAATGGGCGAACCGGCGTCCATTTTTTGGACGTTATTGTGTCAGTTAATGTTTTGGTGTTGATGGTGGTACATGTGCTCTGTTTGTCAAACATAAACTGTGTATTGGATTAAATATATTTTTATTATGTAAACTATGGGCTGTGATATGGGTAACAAACGAGTACACAGTCTACATGATGTTAAGTTTATACTGTAGCCCATAGACTGAATCTGTCATCGAATAAGAATTAAAATGTAAATGCATTGTCACCCCTGGATCTTTACACTCTGCATACGAAACACAGCAGATTTTAGCCGCTATTTTATACTCTATTTTGTTAGATCGTGGTCCTTCTTCATTCGAGCCGACCCATTTGTGCTACAGCCATAATATAAATGCAACGTTGCTCTACCACGTATAGTTATAATGAAAAATATCCACTATATGTTGATTTCTTTAATTTCTACCTCAGTCAACGATATTGCTCCACCATAATCTACACCATACCTATAATGGCAGTGACAAACTAGCACACAGTCCACCTGGTGGTGGATTGCTCCGTTTAGGTTTTTTGTCTTTTTAGTGAAATACACACTGCTGCAGTCACCAGTAAAGTATTAATATCCATATTATTATTTATTTCCATTCCGTACGACTGCCAAGATCGGAAGACGCTATGCGTCCAAACGGAAGTGTCGTCAATGGTACCGTATCTGGATACAATTTTATTTGGAGTGCATCCATTTAAATGGACGTATCGTCAGTGGGTACCTTAAAGAACATAATCACTAGATTTACCAATGGTAACCAACCATAAAATGCCCAGCTAGATCACGATCTGCCCGATTCTAAAATCGGGCCGCGACATACGAGACTCTTTATAACTTGCCTTCGGTATTTAATAAGCCAGCGGGCGTTTGCAAACAGACAACGCGATTAAATTATACTCTTCGACAGATGATGTTTTACGAATCATACAATCTGTCGACGGTATATACAAAGTTCAATATTTTGAGAGCAAAGCTGTTGCAATATTTTTGTAAACAGACAACGACATTCACAACAATATTTTTAACTGACTTCAAAAATCCGACTAACTTTTTAAAGACCAATTAGGATAACACATAACCGACAATAATATTTTACACAATATTCAATAATATGTCAGTTAATCGATTTTGAAGATTTTAATCGGTAATGATTGAAGTCAGTTTTTTCCAATTATTACAGCTACATCCACACATATTACGCGTATCTTACCAACTCTTCTAAACATTCACTTGATGCAAATTCCTGGCAGCATGAAAGTGTCCATTTATTATATACACAAAAATATTAAAAGAAAATCTCATTTATGAGCTTTTTTCAGTATACCTCTACCGTATTACCTCAAGAATGTCCGGAGGTCCTTTGTTCATATACCGCCACGTTTGTATAAACGCCGCTATGGGAATTATCAGCAATGCCCCTTGCTGTATCAGTACAGCTACTTGTCTTGCCCATATAGGCCAGTAACTGAAAATGAGCACAGTACATTATTTAATCAAAATATACAAATCGTTAAAAGAAATAATTTATTAAATTAGAGTAAGATATATAAGTGCGATCCCAGTCTACTGTAAGTAATATTATAACATTACTCAATTAATAAAACGCAAGTGAACAATATAATATTTAAAATATCAAAATTTAGGCATGAGACCGATATATCAAAACGTAACTAATAACGTTATGTTATCAAACTATCATATTATATCGATACACCCAAGTACATAACCACACCCCCTCCTCTTTTAGTCTCCCTCGTGTTTGCAAATAGATTGTACCCCTCCATGTGGTATAGTGATAGCTCATTGTTGTTAATGTTTGTCTCTGTCACCACTAGTAATGCTAACTCCTCAGAGCATTTTTTTACAAACACTTGCAATTCATTAAAGTTTTTTCTTATCGACCGAATATTTATGTGTAATATGTGTAAATATTTATTGTTGCAAGATATACTCCGAACCCAGGAATTCGCTGTTTTAAATCTTGTATATTGACATTCCAGTGTGATAATTGCATCGAAACGATCACCTTTTACTTGATGTTATTGAGCTCGCAGTGTTTACTTCGCACTAAGTGTGCGTGAGGCTAGTGAGACCAACAACAACATCTAGCTAGTTGCCGTATTTAAATTGTTTTCTATATATTTTTCAATATCACGTTCACTCTTAATTGACATTATTTTCTTCTGTTCATCACTCTTTCTTATGAGTATTTTTCCATCCTGTACCCAAATGTACTTGTAGGTTTTCCTAAGCTGATTTTTAGTAATCCATAAAAGGTTCCTTTTATATCTAGTGAGTGAGGTGCCGCATATGTAGGAGCTACTGAGCTTTAGAGACAGCCATTTGCAAACGACAGCTGTCTCCCCGACCATTTACGGCACAGGACTCCATCCTGAGCAAGCTGTCCCATTAGGCCCAATAGCTTCTAGTGGTCAAACTCATCGCTGAGACGTCGCTCCACTTAGGCTTGGTAGCACGGGCCTTCATCCATTCCAGAATCGGCTTCATATCCGGATCTTCCTGCTGTGCATGTCGTAGGCTGTCCTTCCACTCGTTGCCGAGGTGGTCTGCCCAGAGCATCCTCACGGATACCACTTCCTCACTCTCTTGCCTAGTACAATGTTTGCAATCTTCAGGACAAGGTCTTCTTGACAATGCATATGCGTTGCTAAGAGATTTCCCGCTGCGATGTCTGATAGTACAGTCGTATTCCTGCTGCTGCTGGGCGGTGATGTTAGCCGCACTTCCCTTCTGAGATCGTTCACCTTCCCTTTCTAGGGTTCGCTTAGGGCAGCTGGATCGAAGATGGTCCCTTTCCCCACAGCCATAGCACCTAGGGCTATATCCTTTATTGTGGTCGCGGACCGTAAATGCTGCAACCTCTCTAACGTAAGGGGAACGATGATCCTGCCGCCGCCAGGCGGTGCCGTTAGCTGCACTACCCTCTCGAGATCGATCAACTTCTCTTTCTACAGTTCGCTTAGGGCAGCTGGATCGAAGATGGCCCTTTTCCCTACAGCCATAGCACCTAGGGCTGTATCCATTATTGCGGTCGCGAACTGTAGCTGCTGCAACCTCCCTGACGCGATGGGAACGATGATCCTGCCGCACGGCTTCAACCTCCAGTGCATGGGCCAAGGCTTCCTTGAGTGTCACGTGGTGCCCGAGCATCACAGCCGCTCTGACTTCCAGGTCGTGGATGCCGTCGATGAATGTCTGCTCCAGGTTCCCTTCAATGAGCGCAGGTACAGACCGGTATGCTTTTCGCACCAGCTTCTCCAACTCTAGAGCCCACTGCTGCAGGTTTTCGTTGATGCGCTGCACGCGATCTTTAAGCTGCGCACGAAAGACGTGTTCCAGGTGAGCGTCGCCATATCTCGCCTCCAATGCCTCATGTCCTCAAGGAGTTGCTCATAAGTCACTTCCTCACCGAGAGCTTCCAGAAGTGTTAAGGCCTGGTCGCGCAGGCCTAGTGTGAGAGCAGTCATGGCCTGACTTTTATTCCAGCCGTTCGCCTTCATAACGGCTTCGAACTGGATTTTGTAAGCCGACCAGGAAGAAGTCCCTTCGAACGGCGGCACTTGGAACCCACGTAGCGAAGGTGTTGTAGCTACTACGGGAGCTGTAGTTCCATCTCCAAGTTTGAGTTCGTCCAGTGATTTCTTCATGTCAGCCATTACATTGTCAACCCGATTGTTTACTTGGTTGATTCGAGTTTCAGCTTCCGATAGGCGGTTGTCATGTTGAGCAACCTTATCCTTCAGCTTCCGATAGGCGGTTGTCATGTTGAGCAACCTTATCCTTCACCTCCCTTATCTCTTTCCCGAAGGTAGCGTGAATGTCCTTCATGAGGAGCATCTGCTCTTCCTTATCGCGTTTGAGCTGCTCTTCCAACCGACGGGCCTGTTCCTCCTGTCGGCGGGCCTGTTCTCCTGCTGCTCTTTCAACCAACGGGCCTGCTCCTCCTGTCGGCGAGCCTGCTCTTGCAGCATCACCATCAGAGCATCTAAGTCAGGTGCTGCATATGTAGGAGCTACTGACGGGCCTGCAGCCGGTGGCTGGTCCTCCGACGTCTGTGGCGTTGCACCACCAAATCTTCTTTGGTCCATCTCCTGCTGGCGTTGACTTCGGGTACGGACACCCGCCGTTTCCTCCTTAGGTAAAATCGGCATGATTTAATCCCACTTCTGACACCAATTGTTACGAGCTTGAGGTTCGTGACAATTAAAACTGCCGATTAAATTACCAAAATTAACACTTTAATTCGCTTTACACTAATTAAAACTTAAAAGACACTAATAATTAATTACACTGATTCATTTTATTTCGCTCCGAAGCTTCGCTTGTCTCGCCAAATTCAATACTGCCCCGATCGCGGCATGCAGCGGGTTTAAATACACTTTTACGCTGAAACACCAGAATATTCCCGTAGATACGGGCGCCAACCGACCAGACGCAGAAAGTTCGAGTGTAGGGCTTCTAGAAAGCTTAGTTCTTCAATTCGATACTAGATGGCGCCGTCGGTTGAAAGTCAAGATTGACATTTTCTAGGAAGCCCTCCTCGCTCTGGTCCCCGACACTAGATGGCGCTAGTGCCGGGTACATGACGTCAACTCAGGCGCGCAACAATATATATGTATGTAATTTATTGTACCGTGTAGTGGCGGTGTAAGAATATCCACTACCCCATATCATCCCGTGGGTGTCGTAAAAGGCGATAGAAGGAAACAAATCAGGAGATAGGCAGCAACGTCTTCCTACTAAAGACTAAAAACAGTGTGTAGTGTGTACTGAGAAAGTACACGACAGAAATGAAACTTTTGTATTACAGGTAAACATTTCAATTATTCATCAATGACTTTTGAATAGCATAGATTGTGTATATCATTCATTTATTTACATAAAATGATATACATATGTGTCACAGTGCATCATCTTCTTCGATCTTAAGAAGAGATATTATCGGTTTAGTCTGTTAATTACGTAATTGTCTATTATTTATGTAATTTTTATTTAATTAAACCAAGGTTTTATATTATGTCAACAAACATTTATTAAAATGAAAATTTACAAATTATTATTTTACATAAACTAAATTATAAAATTTGACGGCTCCGTGGTGCAGCGACATAGCAATTGAATTACAGCGCTAAAACCGCGGGTTCGAATCCCGCACGGTACAAGTATTTGTATGGCCTACAAATAATTGTTCTGGATCAGGATGTTTGTCCCTGTACGATTTATGTTTGTAAACTGCCACGATAAAGGAGAAAATCCTAGTGTGGAGGTTACGTTTTAAAAAAATTATTTTATGCCATCTAGCATCTACTCTACGTTCCACCTTGAGAGTCAATCAATTTTTGTTCGATAAAATGACTTTACTTATAGAATGTAGTAGATGGCGCTATTATTGTAATGAGCTCACTGTTTCTAAAATAAATACGTGTACCTTGGTAACTGTCTTAAATAAAATTAATATGTATAAGATTAGTATTTGAAAGAAAGACCGCTGTAATCTTGTAATTGTAATTATATTACCGTATACTTGATGACTGTAAATATAACAGAATGCGAGTAACCCGGGTTCGATCCCCGCCGGCACCAATGAAATTGTTAAATGCAATTTTAAGTGCTAATTTACCACGTGCTTGGCGGTGAAGGAAAACATCGTGAGGAACTGCGGCGGACACTTCCTTGCCCTAAAACCGTCTCAGAAATGAGGGGAGGCCTGTGCCCAGCAGTGGGACGTATATAGGCTGTAACTTTACTTTACTATACTTGATGGTATGTAATGGCCTGCGTTCGCGATTTGAATGATCATTATCTACGGAATGATCGACCGAATAACCTGGTACGTTTCCCCACCGCTTTTCGTCACAAAATAGGTTACGGATATGGAGTGTAGAGGTAAGGAGTACAGACTGTATAAACAAGTGTCCATAGGAAAGCGTTAAATAAGTGTGGCGCCACTGTAGCTACAGTCTAAATTTTAAAGAAGTTTTTATAATTTTTTTTTATTGCTCACTCACCATAATTCTTTTTACAATAATTATTTTACTGCTTTCTAAATTTTTATTTTTAAAATCACTCTCAATGTATTTTACGGCGATTTATCATACCCTATAGCAACTCGAGCGTTGTGGTGGAGAGTTTTGGAAGTGTTATTTACTGCTTACAGATGTCCATCATTTTCAACTATTCTCCTATGGGAGATTGTCCTCCTTACCTCTATACTCCATGGTTACGGATCAGAATTTTAAAGCCCTCCGGTAAAAAGTTTCACTTCAAAAACTGCAGTTGGCAACCCGCTTGCCAAGCGTGGTAACTACGGCAAATATTTCCTTTATGATGCAAACTATGGGGGGGGGGGAGGGGGACTATATGTTCAGCAGTGGACTTTAATAGGCTGTAACGGTAACTGTATAATTTATTACTGCATAACAATAAATTTACAGAAATTATATATTAACATACATGTCTAAATATTACATCTAAAACAAGTTATATCAGAACCTCAGACTTCAAAACTATAATAATCTAAGTAATTCATAAAATAAATATTGCACTGGTTCTAGTTTGCGGTTATGTTTCGGTTGTCGTTCTCGCATTTAGTAGCAAACCGTTACTTGCCGTTACTACGGATATCGATATCTGAAATCGGTTTCCAATAACGATATGAAAACTAAAAATCGGTTATGCAACCGTTACAGCTAAAAATTGAAAACTCAACAAGGTTAAAAGTATATCTTGAAGATATTTAATTTGCGACAAATGGAATAAGAATAAAATTATTTACCCAATGGGCTTCCTCCAAGTGTACAGCTGACGTTGTTGTCCAATTCGAAAATCCATAACGCATATTGCCTGAAAAAAAAATTATATTAAACCTTACACTTACTATACTGTGTAGAGTACACTATATGAAAGAATGACGACGAACGACTGCGTAGCATAAATGCCTAATATCAGACTTGACTCCATCGTGATTAGTCTGAAGTTCGATTTAAAGCCGGACTTTAAGTTATCATTACATCCTACAAAAGTGCAATGCTAAACATAGGCTTCCTCCTTAGATTTTGCCATATTTGCCACGCTTGGCATACGGTTTGGCAACCGTACTATTTTATAACTTTGAGTTGTTATCAGGAAGATGCTGCTGCCCATCTCCTGTTTCAAACTTTAAGTTAATCGAAGTATAAAGTTATCTGAAGTTAATCATAGTATAGTTGCAATATTTGCGCAAAAACAAGTTTTTGATTTTAGAGTCATCGTTATACACACAGTCCCTCACAAGTCTATTGCTAAAGACAGGCCGTCTCCAAGAAATGCAACAAAATACCGTACTAAGCCACCTGTATCCATCGACTTTCTCACATGTTTTAGACTTAGATCGTTTTATCGAGTTAGAGAATGGGATCGGGATCCTGGCCGTTTTCTGGCCTCAAAAATCCCAGGACTGTACTTGGCTAATCTCGGGATTTTCAAGATGGCCACAAATAGGTCAGAGAATGGGATCGGGATCCTGGCCGTTTTCTGGCCTCAAAAATCCCACGACTGTACTTGGCTAATCTCGGGATTTTCAAGATGGCCACAAATAGGTCATAAATATATTACATTAATAGCATTTATTATTACATAAGGAAAAAACAACCCTTAGATATGCGGTACGATACGTACTACATATTTTTTGTTTTTTTTTTTTTGTTTTTGTGGTGGGGTGTGTTTTTGTTGGTTTTTACAGCCCTAGTAATATGTTTGTCCTAGAACTTAGAAGGGACTTCTCCGCTCGGATTACTGCAATACAATACTCTTAAAGTTTCGTCAACGGGACAACAGGGGAATCACCCGATCACCTCATATCATTGCGGGGTATTTCCCGTCGAGGATTCCCTGTACGAAAGTATAAATAGGTCAATCAGGTTTCATTATTTTTTTTTTCATTTATTACTCTGCCAGTGACGAGGTTACGTAGGTAACGTCATTTAAATTTAAAAGTCAATTATCTGAAATTAAGTATTTAAACATAAAAAGAAAGTGATACGACGTCTGTGTAGAGTTATTTTTTAGTTGCGAAGGACGGGAATTGTGCTAAATGTAAGCGATGCCCAGCCATTCTCAGGAGTTTGGGTGGATCAAGTAAGGGATTACAAACACATTTGTCATCAAATAACGTCAGCTTCAACAAGTCAAGATTCCAAGCGAAAGTCAGATGATTTTTTTCTAAATATTAGTAATCCTATTAATTACCCTCTCAGAAATGAGGGGAGGCCTGAGCCCAGCAGTGGGACGTATATAGGCTATACTTTACTTTAGTTCTATTAATTAACATGACTAATATTCCCTTTAACCACTCCTGGTAAGCTGAAAATGCTTGTGTTAGGAGTGGTTCACGACAGTAGTCGAATGGTGGATTCGAACCCACGACTTTTTGAGTTCGCGGTCCGCGCCCTGCCTTTGGGCTACTATCGCTTCTTCTTTGATTATTTTACTAAAAGTGCCGGCGATAGCCTGGATGATGTTTTGGCAAGAATTTTTTAGAGATTGCATTCGATGGATTTCCAGTCAGGGTATTCATAGCTTCAGAGGATTTGAGAAAATTGCTCTTAGCAAAATAATACACGGGTTTACTAAAAACAGTCGTTACCATTCGGAAAACATGTTATAAATTACAGTAGAAAAATCAGAAAGCAAGTAACTGCAGAATTGAAACATTTGAAAAGTGCAGGTGAAAGATTAGTTCTTTCTTTCGACGAGTGGACTTCAAAGTCCAGTAAACGATACATGACTGTTAACGTTCATTCATAAAACAATTTTTGGAACTTAGGACTTGTTCCTATTTATGGAAGTATAACAGCTGAAAATTGTCTTCATATATTGAAAGAGTGTCTAAGTGAATTTGATATTTCCCTGGAAACTAACTGCTATGCTAGCTATTGTTATCAATGGACCGAATGTTATGAAAGTGGGACGGCTTGTTTGCACTGAACAACAATTGTCTAACACATGGTGTCAATTCGGCCGCCTGTGATGTTCTTTATGAAAAACATGTATTTGCAAGATAGCCTAGATAGATAGACAGCGATGATGATGACCATTTAGATGACTTAGGACTGTCCAGAATCTGGTTTAATCTTAATGTCACAATCTGGTCTGTTAATGATCTGGCGCGAGAAGTGCGAGAACACATACCAGAGTTAGCACAAGATGAAAACATTAGTAAGCTGATAAAGAAAATCCGCAAAGTTTTTTGTTTATAGGATAGGGTGACAAACGAGCACACAGTCCACCTGATGGTAAGTAGTTGCTGTGGCCCATAGACATCTACATCTATTCTCGATTACGAATCAAAATGCAAATGCGTTGTCACCCGTGAGGACTAAGATGGAATGCCTCGTTTCCAGTAAAAAGGGTCTCCAGTTCTCTACACTCACCATACGAAATACAGCAGCACTAAGCTACTATTTCACGCTGGTATTCTGTGAGAGCGTAGTCCTTTCCCGGTCGAGCCGACCCATTCGTGCTACACCTATACTACTAATATAGCTGCAGCTTGTCTCTACCTACAAAAGATAAACATTGAAAAATGTACTTCAAAAATATGTGAAAATTGAACATGGAAAAGAGCTGAAACTTCTTTTGGACTGTAAAACCAGGTGGAATAGTTTTTTGACAATGCAAGAGCGATTTTATATTTTTAAAAACTGCATTCAAAAAGCTCTTATAGATCTCAATCATCCAATTTCGAGTGAAAATGAAAATAATTTTGAATTGTTAAATGAAATTGTTGATGTGCTGACCCCAATTAAATTGATAGTAGAAGCAATCTGTCGGCGAGATGCTAATTTATGCATAGTTGATGCCGCTTTGAAATTTCTTATAAAACAACTGTCTAGCAAAAACTTAGCACTTGCCAAAAAAATGAAAACATTTTTAGTGGAACATATAGAGCAACGACGAAGTGATGATTTAACTGGTGTGTTGAATTATTTATAAAATCCACGAAAAGATGATGAACATCAGTTTTTATCGGATTTGGAATGGCATGACTATTTCCAGTTCATACACAGGCTTTAGTGAGGAAGCAAATTAAGAGTATCGTTAAAAGACTTAATAGCCGAAATGACACGGAAGAAGAAGAAAGGTCAGGATCATAAACAGATGATGACCTAAGACCAGAAACAACCCAACCACAATTGACATTAAAGGAACAGTTACAGTTGGAAATTGATAAGAGTACAAAATTCCCAGATTCCGAAGTACAAGTACAAAATTAATCGGGGGTTGGCAAATAGAATTAGACGTGAAATGAGCCTGTTTGAAAGTGGAGGAGTTCTCGGATATCACTTAGGAACAGAATATCTATGGTCTATTCCTGCAACCAACGTAGAACCTGAGCGTGCGTTTTTAGCTGTTGCTGCCAACATGGCAATAAACTACGAAGCAGGCTTGGAAGTAAAACATTGGATGCTTTGATATTTTTGCGAATGTATTTTCGAAATAGATTTTTGTTTTGTTTTTTGATATCTTGCAAAAGTAAAGTTTTTTTTGTTTTGTCTATTTTCTTTTCTTACTATATTGTGATTTCTGTTGTGGAACGATATTATAAAATTTTTTTGAGATACTCAAGTTATTTTCATTTGAGCTCAGTTAGAAGCTACACAGTCTAATCCCGGGATAGTCACGGGATCCCGGAATAACGCATCAAACATCTCGTAATCCCGGGATTGTATTCTCTAACCCGGTGGAGGGGGGGGAGGTTCAAACCTACACTCCGTTTGTCGGAGCAATGTGAGCGTACATACACACATGCACAGGAACACGGATACACAGAGCAGCATGGGCAGCAGCACGCTGCAGGTGAAGGCGAGCAGCGCTGCCAACGCGGCGGTGAGGCGTCCCCGCGCGGCACACACCGCGCCGGCCACCACGTCCGCGGAGTACGACCGCCCGCACACCACGAACACACAAGCACTTGCACACACACGCACGCACACGTACACACACACACACACACGCACGCACACGTACACACACACGCACGCACACATACACACACGCACGCACACGCATACACCCACACCAGATACTCACAGCAGCACGGGATGGCGAGTGCGACGGGGGGGCACACAGCGCGCAGCCACCACGTCCGCGGAATACGGCCGCCCGACACGAACACACACACACACACACACACACACACACACACACACACACACACACACACACACACACACACACACACACACACACACACACACACACACACACACACACACACACACACACACACACACACACACACACACACACACACACACACACACACACACACACACACACACACACACACACACACACACACACACACACACACACACACACACACACACACACACACACACACACACACACACACACACACACACACACACACACACACACACACACACACACACACACACACACACACACACACACACACACACACACACACACACACACACACACACACACACACACACACACACACACACACACACACACACACACACACACACACACACACACACACACACGCACATTCACACATACGCACATTCACACACACGCACATTCACACACACGCACATTCACACACACGCACATTCACACACACGCACATTCACACACACGCACATTCACACACACGCACATTCACACACACGCACATTCACACACACGCACATTCACACACACGCACATTCACACACACGCACATTCACACACACGCACATTCACACACACGCACATTCACACACACGCACATTCACACACACGCACATTCACACACACGCACATTCACACACACACGCACATTCACACACGCACATTCACACACACGCACATTCACACACACGCACATTCACACACACGCACATTCACACACACGCACATTCACACACACGCACATTCACACACACGCACATTCACACACGCACATTCACACCACGCACATTCACACACACGCACATTCACACACCCGCACCAGATACTCACACAGAGCAGCACGGGCAGCAGCACGCTCCAGGTGAAGGCGAGCAGCGCTGCCAACGTGGCGGCGAGGCGTCCGCGCGCGGCACACAGCGCGCCGGCCACTACGTCCGCAGAGTACGGCCGCCCGCGCACCACGAATACGCCGGCCGCCAGCGACACTTGCACCGCGCACTGCCACCACGACCCCACCAACACGTAGTCCGCGAAGTGCACGATCCGTATGCCCGCCTGCGGAAGTAACATACGACAACTTAGATTAATCGGTCGATTGCATATTATCGCATTTAATGTAAGCGTGCATAAATACAATAATTTTGGTCCAGTATAGTATAGCAGTAATTTGACCTGAAATGTTTGGTAGTGGTTTTGGAATGGTTTTATTTTATTTATTACTAGCCAGTGGTTGACCACAATCCCATCTGGTACTAAGTGGTAATGAAGCCCTAGATGGTAAATCGCACTATTTTAGTTACTAGTACTGTTATAACTCTTGCCTTGTAGACATCCAGATTGTATTCGGACGGAAAGACAGATGCTGAGAGGCTGGCTACTCTACGCCTGTGCTCGAGGCTAAGAAGATTGGTTTCAACCAAATTAAGGTTACCAATGAGTCTCTTAGCACCTCTCTCCACCGAGGCCAACGCTGTTACGTGGCGTTTTGCAGCACCAGCCCATATGTGATAGCAGTACTCCATGCACGACTGGACTTGCGCTTTATATAAGGTAAAAAACTACCTCGGCGTGAAGTACCGCCGCACCCTTGCAAGGATACCTAGTTTCCTCATTTTGGCCCTGGACTTAATGAACAGCCCATAGTTGAATTTACGATAAATCTCAACTCCTAACAACGGAAGGTGGTCAGTGTACATCAAAGACACGCTTGTGTTTTGTAGGCGTTGAATCTCACGAGATTGGCATTCGAAGATTGCCTGCAGTGAGAGATTCGCTCTCTCAACCATAGCTTCTCTTTCGGACTGGATTTGATCCCGATTAGCCCAAGCATTCGGCTGGTAGGTACACCTCTACAACTGTGCTGTCGTCTGCATACTCAGTGTGTAGCAGGTAGAAAGTTGCAGAGAGAACAGACCCCTAAGGAGCTCCAGCGTTTATCGCGATAGGATTGGACGAGCAGCCATCGATGATGACAAGGAGAGATAGTTCACTTAGAAAGTCCTTCAACCTGTCAATCAGGCCAGGGGATAGGCCGTACGTTAGAAGCTTGGCCAAAATACTAGCGGGCCATACCCTATCAAAGGCCTTCGGTACATCAAGGGAAACAGCAAGTGGTTCCCCACTGTTGTCGAGGGCTTCACCCTATATGTGAGTGGCATACGTTAGAAGGTCCCTGTTTGAACGATTTTGGTGAAACCCGTACTGGCGGTCTCAGATCATTCTGCTCTGGGAACGCCATAAAGTGGACATGAAATATACGCTCCATAATCTTGGAGAGTATGGAGTTAATTGGAATTGGCCAACAGTTGCCCTTTTTTGGCACAGGCAGATTAGCTTCATTCCCCATAGAAAAACTCTATAACATTTGTGTAGCATACAAATATAAAAACCATTTAGTATACGCGGGCACAGAATAAAAAAAAGTACTACGTACAGAAGTTACACTCCTTTGATGTTGACTACTTGCCGACATTTTAATAGCCTACATAATTAATAATAACTAGATAAATCGCGCACGCAAGTTAAATAAAACTTTATCCATATTACTTTGCATCTTCTCCCCTTCCTACGTCACGGCGGACTTTCTGTCTGGTTACTAAGGGTTGTCAATAAAGATCAAAAAAATACATTGCGAAAGGGTAAGTAGGTAATTTAGGTAAGGTACCAAAATGTGTATACCAACCGATATTTAAATGGTGAGATTCACCATTTAAATACCAAAATGTGTATACCAACCGATATTTAAATGGTGAATCTCACCATCATCCTTCACAGTTAGCTACCGTGGGTAAATCTTTGTTTCAGAGAGCACGAGGGATCTGTGACAGAAAACATCTGGCCGCGGAGCTTCAGCACGTCAAGCAAGTATTGCAAGACAACAAGCTTCGGGTCCCGCGCCTACGTCACAGTGAACGAGTGAAGCCGGCTACAGTCGAGCGCGCGCCTGCTCTACTACCATATGTTAGAGGAGTCACGGACAAGATTGGCTACATCTTGAAGCGAGCGTCCATTAAGACATACTACAAGCCGCTGAAGAAGATTAGTCAATTTTTACCATCCATCAAATGTAATATTCCTCTACAAGATGCAGGTGTGTACAAGCTAGATTGTGAATGTGGTCTCTCTTACATAGGTCAAACAAAGAGATCTATAAAAACCCGCGTGAAGGAACATATAGCTGATGTGAAGCACCGACGCTCCGGGAAGTCTGCAGTCTGCGAACATGTTCAAGATCGTCCCCACCATTACATTAGATTTGATAAACCACAAATTCTCGCAAAAGAACACCGATTCCTACCAAGGATGATACGCGAGGCTATTGAAATTAAAAAACATCCAAATTTCAATAGAGAAGATGGTTGGGTGCTACCATCTGCTTGGGATCCTATAATTAACAAAATTAAACCCAAACCCAAGCATACCACTGCAAGACTTCATGATACTATAAGCTCGTTTTGCGTAAATCGGACCAAAAATTAATATTAAAAAACTGAAGGTAGCCGGACTAACTATGACATTGGGACGTCAAACATCTCAGTCCCCCCCCCCCCCGTGACCATGGGCGCTGTAAAGCACCCGAAACGTCGGGATAATAATAAAAATAAATTAAAGTAATTAAACGCGATAAAATCCGTAAATAATAGTTTTATTCAAAACATATCCATGCTTTATCTCCTTTTACAATACCATACACAGCATTTGATCGTCCGTGATCATACATTAACAATATTGTTTTAAAACAATCGATTCGCAGCCGTTTTTGTTGTAGGGTGTGTTGATGAGGTATCCTCAACCAAGCTGCAATAATGTTTTTTAACTTTTAAATGTTGATGTAATTTTTTAACTTTGCTCATACCAATACACAAACGTCTTCTAATCTCCTCGTAATTGATCCGCTGGTGTTCTTCAACTAGCGTTGATACAGAAGTCGCATTTCCCTCAGTGATCGCAGTTAAGGGTAGACCTCAACGAATTTAATCATGGAGATAAACACGACCATTGCGCTTACTAACGCCTTCCAGTATTGAAATGAGGTGCTCCTCTCCCAAAAGCATTTTGAAGGCGAGTATTGCGGAGAGGAAACTTTAAAAAAAATATCGTCCTAAAACCTAGTCGTCGACGAACTTCAACGTGTGATAAAAAGCATTTGACACGCGACTTTCCGCCAAAATGATATAAATCAATAAAATATTATATTTAATATAAGTTCCTTAAGTTTCAAAAAAGTTGTCAGTTTAGTTGTCTAGGGAGATTTGGCGATTTGGGAGACAAAATACAAATATCATTACATCATATTTCGATCAGGAATACATTATTATTTTAAAAATTACATTTTTGATCAGTAAATGATAACTTACCTTCACACAATAAATGAAACCTGTGACGTCATGCAATAAATAGTATTTTTGTTACTTACATACATACATACATAAACACTCAGGCCTGTCACCCAGAGGGGTAGGCAGAGACTACGGACTTCCATTTGGCACGATCCTGACATACCTCTTTCGCCTCCTTTACATCCATATATCTACGCATACATGCTCGTCGGTTAAGGGTACTTTTAACGTGGCCCATTTTCAAAATATCGCCAATTTGGTCGATAAACTTTTTTCTAGGGCGTCCCTTCCCGACTCTGCCGTTCACATCTGCCATATATGCTTGTTTTTCTTCTACGTGACCAAACCACCGCAGCATTCCTTTCTTAATCCTGGTCACAACATCATCTTGCATACCACATTTATCTCTTATCACGCAATTTCTCACCCTGTCATTCAGATTCAACCCTAGCATACTCCTTAAAGACCGCATTTCTACAGCATTTATTCTACTTTCGTGCTTCTTCTGCCACACCCAGCTTTCACTATCATACATTAAAGTAGGGACTAACACAGCATTATGAATTACCATACGTGCCTTTTTTGATACATTCTGGTTCTTTACAATAGAGTGTAGTGCCCCATTCACTCTATTCCCTGCATTTACTCGTCGTTCTATATCCTTATCACATCTACCATCCCTGCTAAATACACATCCCAAATACACAAACTCATCCACTTGCTCAATTAACTCTCCTTCTATTAATGATTTCTTAAATTTACGCGAACACTACACATTGAATAAAACTATTATTTACGGATTTTATCGCGTTTAATTACTTTAATTTATTTTTATTATTATCCCGACGTTTCGGGTGCTTTACAGCACCGATAGTCACGGAGGGGGGGGACTGAGATGTTTGACATCCCAATGTCATAGTTAGTCCGGCTACCTTCAGTTTTTTTTTTAATATTAATTCTACAAGCGGTACGTAGACGACACTTTCACAATTTTACCATCTGACAAAGTAACTGCATTTTTAGACCACCTTAACTCCATAAACTCTAAAATACATTTCACAATGGAAATTAGAGACAAATAATTCTTTAGCCTTCCTAGATGTTTTAGTCATCCGAAATCCTGATAACACTATTGGTCACACTGTGTATAGGAAAAAGACCCATACCAACCGATATCTAAATGGTGATTCTCACCATCATCCTTCACAGTTAGCTACCGTGGGTAAATCTTTGTTTCAGAGAGCACGAGGGATCTGTGACAGAAAACATCTGGCTGCGGAGCTTAAGCACGTCAAGCAAGTATTGCAAAACAACAAGCTTCGGGTCCGCGCCTACGTCACAGTGAACGAGTGAAGCCGGCCACAGTCGAGCGCGCGCCTGCTCTACTACCATATGTCAGAGGAGTCACGGACAAGATTGGCTACATCTTGAAGCGAGCGTCCATTAAGATATACTACAAGCCGCTGAAGAAGATTAGTCAATTTTTACCATCCATCAAATGTAATATTCCTCTACAAGATGCAGGTGTGTACAAGCTAGATTGTGAATGTGGTCTCTCTTACATAGGTCAAACAAAGAGATCTATAAAAACACGCGTGAAGGAACATATAGCTGATGTGAAGCACCGAGGCTCCGGGAAGTGCGAACATGTTCAAGATTGTCCCCACCATTACATTAGATTTGATAAACCACAAATTCTCGCAAAAGAACACCGAT